GTGGCCCTGAGGCTGCCCAGGAATGTCCGTCTCTAGCATTGCTCAGAGGGCTGCACGCAGTGCTCCTCCAAAAGCAGGAACAGAAAGTGAAGGCGATCTGACAGCAACCTGAGTCCCAGCACTGGGTGGAGTAAGCAAAAGCCCAGGCTGAACTGCTCCACTTCCGAGAATTCAGGCGCTCAGCAGAAAATGCAGCAGCGTTTGTGCAGGGTTGTTTTTTCCGCCCCTCCCTGCCCTGCGCGGCTTCAGTGAGGCACGGCTTCCGTGCAACAGCCGCAGAGACAGCAAGGCTTGCCGTATGGCTTTCCCCCTGCGCTGTGTCTCAGGCTGTACCCACCGCACACCGCTGTGCCGCCCGCCCTCAGCCGTGCTCTGTGCGGTTCCCAGAGCGGGGAGATGGGAGGCAGCCTCAGGAGATGCAACAGCGCGCAGGGGGGGAGCAGCTTACCTGTACTGTGACGTCCTGCCATCGGGAGAGCGCTCACACTCACACGGGGAGCCTGGGAGGAGAGAGATTTTGAGTGAGAGGGGCACAAACCTGCCCTGCTTCCCTCCCTGTGCCAATGAAGGTGACACAGATGATCTCTGGGGACTCAGGTCAGTCCCACAGCCGCGTGTGCATGGAGAAAGCCAAGTGGCATCAAAGTTACCCATCTGCATTGACTTTGCCTTTGGAAAGAAATGTTGGCTGACCCTCATTCATGGAGGTCAGAACCCACTCCCTGAAAGCAGATTCTGCTGCCTCGGAATTTGTTCCGGCAGTGGCAGCAGAGCTGCAGCAACTCACCAAAGCAGCGCTGCGCTGTGTCCCAGCTCTGACTGCTGCACTCGTGCTGTTGCTGCTCTCGTCCCGCACAGCAGCGCCGGGGCTGGAAGCGCTGTGCAGCTCAGCAGCGCTTTTAGAGGCGGCGTCGGGAGGAGGGCAGTGCTGGGATCCCAGGTAGCGCTGCTCCACCATTGGCCACATCTGAGCTGCCCCAGTGCGGGGACACCGCCCGCTGTGCAAAGCCACATCCAGCCTGGACTCGGGCGCTGCCAGGGATGGGGCATCAGCAGCTCTTCCGGGAAACTTATTTATGGCCTCACCACTCTTGTCTTGAGGAATTCCTTCACGACACCTTCTCTGAAACTGCTCCATTTACGTCAGCCATTCTCCTTTGTCCTATTGGTTCACTCTCAGTGAACAGAAGCACAGCTGTGCCGTGCAGTGCTGCAGCCCTGGCACAAGGACCCAGAGGCTGTGGGGTTTTCTCCTAGTGCACATTCAGCCCTCACACATGAGGCTGTGCCACCTGTTCTGCGTGTCCCTGTGGAGGCAGGGGAGACCAAATCCCAGCATCCCCAAACCACAGCTCACTTGGGGCCTCAGGCACCTCTGCAGACCACCCACTCTAACAGCCCCATGCCCTTCGCACGCAGCAGCACCCCATGCTCGAGGTCAGGCTGCAGCACAGAGCAGAGGGCACAGTCCCTTCCCTCACCAGCACTGCTGGGCTGCTGCACCCAGCGGATGGGGCTCTTTTGGCTGCAGGGCCATTCTAATGGCTCACATGCACCGGGCCGTCCCACAGCCCCCAGAGCCCTTCTGTGCGGCTGCTGTCCGACCTCTGCTCCTCCTCCCCCCATACTGGGAACCCAAACCCAGTCACTGAAGGGAACACTGGAGAGAATCAGCCCTGAGATGGAGCCCTGTGGAGCCCCCAGTGACTGCCACCAGCACATCTCCCCCCGTGTCTCAACACGGCCAGCCCAGCATTCACCCATCACACCGTGCCCGTGTCCAGCTGTGTGCCAGGCGTTGTGCCTGCAGGTTCCTGGGAGCAATGCTATGGAGGCACTGCAGGAGCCGAAACAGCTCTGCATCCAACCGGCTGGATCCCCACGAGCAGCTCAGTGGGTGACTGCTGGACCTGCACACCGAGTTCCCAGGACAGGTTTTGCCCCTCACCAGCCCGCGTTGGCTGCTGACAATGACTGCGTTGTCTCTCAGCTCTGTGTGCAGCTGAGGGCAGCGGTCCCGGGGCTGCAGAGACCCCGCACAAGGGGAACCCCCCCACCCCCGGCCGTCCCTTTGCCTGCTGCACGGGGCTGGACGGGGCCCAGAGGGGCCGTGTGGTTCCTGCTCAGCGTGTGACTTTCGGGAATGGGAGCGGCTCAGCCCCGGCTTTGGTTCACCCGAGGGCAGCAGGAGCAGCAGGAATGCTTTCACTTTCAGTTGTCACACAGCCCAGAGCTCAGCGCCCTGCGCTCCCTTGGGGGCTCGAGTTCCCCCTGACGGCGACAAAGAACAACAGCTGCACTTTCTCCTCCCTTTTCCAGAGGCCCCTCGTGGGGATGGGCTCTGTCCCGGCTGTGATTCCCGCTGGTTTCAGAACAGTGCTGATGCTGCTGACGGCGCCCTGGACCGCTGGGAGCAGCAGGAAGTAATGCTGCATGCAGAGCGCTAATTAAAACACAAACATTACACTAATTACCGTAATTATCCTTTAGTGCCTCCATAAGCCATGCTCAGGGATCTCCCCAAACCCTGCGCCCACCCCGCGCAGTGCGCAGCGGGCGACGTCGCGGCGGCACCGGGCGCTGCGCTCCGGCGAGTCGAAGGCGTCGGGCGCGTCCACCGCGTGCACGCCGTAAGCCCTCCACGAGCCGCTCCGCCGCTCGCTCCTCCGCGCCACCGCACGCGTGGGGTGAATCGCGGGGAGCAGCCGGGGGTTGGCTGTCGCTCCCCGGGGTGCGGCCGCCCCGCCGGCAGCCGGGCCGAAGATGGCGCATTCCTTAAGTGCCTTTCCCGTCAACGCTCCCGTTTCCCGTCAACGCGCTCGGTTCCCTCAGCGGCGCCCCTGGCAGCGGAGCCGCGCGGTACCGCCGCCCCGCCGAGCTCGAACGGACGCGCCGCCCCGTCGCCCCGCGCTCCCGCAGCGCCGCGTCCCCCAGCCGAGCTCCTCCGCGCCGCGCGGCCCCGGGGGTCGCCACCCGCTCTGCCGGCCCCGCTCTCGCCCAGCACCCGGGCCGAGCTCCCGGGGGCTCCGGGGTGGCCGGACGCTTCCCGACCCGCCGCGACGCGACGCGCTCCCCTGGGGGCTGCCGGCCCGACGGGGAGCGGCGCGCCGCCGGCACCGGGGCTGCTCGCAGGGCTGCTCCGAGCCGGGGCGGCTCCTCGGTGCCCGCTCTCACCCGGCGCCGTTCGGCCCCGGCCGCAGCCGCGCAGCCGTCGCGGTTTCGAGTTTTTTCCTCGTGATTCCACATTCCCTGCGTCACGCAGCGATGGGAGTCAACGGGGCGACGCGGCGGCTCTGAAGAATGAGCTACAGCTCCCAGAAAGGCACGGCGCTCCCACAACGCTTTATTTTGTGATTTCCATCTTCCAGGAGGAGGCGATGACAGCAGAACACAAAGCTCACAGCAGCGCTCTCCTTTGCTGCCTGTGTGTCACAGCTGCTGCAGCATCGGCACGAGAGCTTTGCGTTTTGGAAACTCTCGTTTGTTCAGTAGCTTCAATTCCAATTACATTTCACTACTACAATTAGAAAACTAAGTCCTTCTTTCCTTAGCTCATTGCCACCGCTTCCCTTGTCTGGATCCATCTTCGTTCCCTTCCCCTCCCCTACCCCCTTTTTGGCATGGACCCGTGGGTCTCGTCACGGTGATTAGATCTTAATTACGGCAAACACAACCAACACGACGACTCCCCTCGCCCCTCGCTCTGCCTGACGGCGATGCTCACAGCCCTGTGCAGCACCTCATCAGCTTGCACATCCCGGTCCCGCCTCGGCGCTCTGTTGCTCACAGCACAGCACTGCTTCCCGCACGCCTTCACCAGCTCCCGCAGCGCTCCTCTGTCGGCCGCCTTCACGTATTCATCCAGCGAGCCGCCCCCAAGTCTTCCTTCCTTGTGAACACCACCATCATGCGCTGCTTAGCGCCCTTCCCAAACAGCTTCTGCACGCTCTCCTGCACCTCGCGGTCCTCCCGCGTGTAACGGCCCAGCTGTGTCACCAGCAGCAGCACGCAGGGCTCCCGGGCAGCGAATCTGAGGCAGCGCTGGCGCTCCTCGGCCAAACGCTGCTCGTCCCACTGAGAGCCCCCGAAAATCGCCGGGGTGTCCATGACCACCACGCACCACTCGCCCCAATCCCGCCTGCCTTCTTTGCACGTGGTGGTGACGGGTTGGGACGCCAGCCGGGACTCGAAGCGCTCCTCGCCCAGCAACGTGTTGCCGGTGGCGCTGCGCCCCGCTCCGCTCCGCCCCAGCAGCACAACGCGCAGCTCCGGCCGCCGACCTGCGGGGACAGCGGGACACGGCTCGGACGGGACGGACAGCTTCTCCTCCAGGTACTGCCGACCCCACGCCGAGCTTCCATGGACCCCGTCCCGTTACAGACAACACGCTCAGAGCACGGACCCCGCGACCGGACAAGGAGACCGGGCCCCAAACCAGCAGGCACACAGGGCTCGTGGGCCGCATCCGCCCTCAGCCTCGATCTGTGCGGCTCTGAAAGCAGAGATGGGAGGCAGCCTCAGGACGCCCCCGAGGCCACGGCCTCCCACAGAGCCCACGCGAGCACGAGGCTGCACCAGGATGCGAACCCCCCGTGCTCCCCAGCACTCAGCCAGGAGCCCGATGGGCTGCAGCTGCGTGCATGCAGCTGTGAGTGGCTCACCTGTGCTGTGACGTCCTGCCATCGGGAGAGCGCTCACACTCACACGGGGAGCCTGGGAGGAGAGAGATTTTGAGTGAGAGGGGCACAAACCTGCCCTGCTTCCCTCCCTGTGCCAATGAAGGTGACACAGATGATCTCTGGGGACTCAGGTCAGTCCCACAGCCGCGTGTGCATGGAGAAAGCCAAGTGGCATCAAAGTTACCCATCTGCATTGACTTTGCCTTTGGAAAGAAATGTTGGCTGACCCTCATTCATGGAGGTCAGAACCCACTCCCTGAAAGCAGATTCTGCTGCCTCGGAATTTGTTCCGGCAGTGGCAGCAGAGCTGCAGCAACTCACCAAAGCAGCGCTGCGCTGTGTCCCAGCTCTGACTGCTGCACTCGTGCTGTTGCTGCTCTCGTCCCGCACAGCAGCGCCGGGGCTGGAAGCGCTGTGCAGCTCAGCAGCGCTTTTAGAGGCGGCGTCGGGAGGAGGGCAGTGCTGGGATCCCAGGTAGCGCTGCTCCACCATTGGCCACATCTGAGCTGCCCCAGTGCGGGGACACCGCCCGCTGTGCAAAGCCACATCCAGCCTGGACTCGAGCACTTTTCCTTAGACAAACACACATTTGAAATATAAATATGCTCAGAGGAAAGAGAATTGGATAGTGTGTGTGATAGCAAGGTTCTGATTCAGTTTGCAGAAGCGGAAATTGAGCATCAGTTTCCTCACTGAGCATTGCTGCTACAGCAGGGCACTCTGGGCTCACGTCCACCAGGATGACCAAAAGCCCGCAGAGCCCTTCTGTAGGGCTGCCTCTGTTTCTTTACATACACCCAGGACAGCCCCATCCCACGTGCAGAATGCAGCTCTTGCTCTCGGTCACCTCCATTCCGTTGGGCACTGCCTGGCCCTGCCATCACTAAGGCTCTCTCTTCACCCCTGACAGAGTCAGCAGCTCCTGGCAGTGCAGTGCCATCCACAACCTTCCTCACTGCACCTCAGTGACAGTTTCCAGCCATGGAGAGAACACTGAAGAGAATCAGCCCTGACACGGAGCCCAGCGGAACCCCCCATGGCTGCCACCAGCACAGTGCCCCCCCGTCCCAGATCCCGGAGCCCCGGTCTTCCCCCACAGCACTGTGTGCGTGTGTAGCTGTGTGCTGAACGCTTCATCCTGACCATTCCTCCAGCAATGTGCTGCCCGTCCTGCTGCTGCCTCCGAGCTGCAGAGCGCCCACATCACCTGCACACGCCAGCTGAGGCCCAAGGGCCCACAGACGCCTTTCCCGTAAGCGCGCTCCATTCCAGCAGTGCAGACAACACATCTCGCAGCAAAGGCTGCTGGAGAACCTCAGCTCTCGCACCGAGGGCAGCTCCCCTTCCACATCCCCGCCATCCTCCACAGCAGCCTGCATGCCCACAGCCACGGGCACCAGCCCTCCACATCCCATCCCCGCAGGCACAGCCGGCACTGGGCCTCGTCCCCACTGCACCGTGTGTGCGACCACCTCCTGCCAGCACTGCTCAGCACAGCAGAACCCAGGGCACAGACGGATGCTCCTCCACACAGCAATGCTCAGTGTTTATTGACAGCTCCTTCAGGCCCATCACCACACACCCTGCCTCACATCACCCCATACAGACAGCAGGAACGGCACAGCAGAGGAGGTCCCTGTTCTGGGACTGACCCCTGGCTGCCTACAGGATGGTACAAAACTTTTCACGGAATGTCCGTGTGTCTTCCTCCAGCATTTCTCGTGTGTAATGCGTAGCATCATGATTCTGCTTTACCATGGCATCAATCATGCTGATGAGCTCTGCAACCTGCCGATTCCTCGCCTCCCCAGTGGCTCTGTTGTTGAAACCAATGTACCGATTTCCACACTTGGCTGCCAGCTCCTTGAGGAATGGGCTCTCTTCTATGAAGCCCTTCAGGTCTTCTGGATGCTGCAGCTCCTCTGCTCGGGTGAATAAGAGGATTGTGTATTTATCTGCTTTCACATGGAACATCCTGGTCACCCACTCAGCCACTTCCTGCTCCTCCGGTGTGATTCGTCCCAGCTGCATCACCAGGACAATGGCATGGACACCTGCAGAGAAATCCTGAAACGCATTCTTAATCTTTTCAGCTGTTTTTTCATTGACTTCCTTAGTGTCAAAAAGGCCAGGAGTGTCAACAACAGTAATTGCTCTTCCAGCAAAATGGCCTTCGGTTTTCTGCGACTCTTTGGTTACCGACACTGCTGACACAGTGGAATGAAACTTGTTTGTCCCAAGGATGGTGTTCCCTGTCGCACTCTTGCCACTTCCTGTCTTCCCCACCAGGATGATGCTCAGCTGGGATCCTGTGGACCAAGCAGAGACGAGTGTGAGCCCCGCGGTGCCGGGACACCCCCTGCTGGCCACGGAGTGCCGGCGCCACGAGGAAAGGTGTCCCCGAGCCACCGCTGTGCCCTGCGGGGACGGGACGGGGCACGGGCTGGAGCCGGCTGCCAGCAGGCACGCAGCGCTCGCTCAGCTCTTCCTGGCCCTGTCCCCTCTCTCAGCTCTCCCACAGGAAAACTGATCGTGCCCAGCAGGAAGCCGAGCCCAAACTGAAGGTTCTGACCAAAGGATCCGCTGCAAAAGGGACACAACGCCCCACGGCTGCACTGAAATGCGCACAGCACGGCTCCCACCGCCACCTTCCCCACTCCGTGGAGAAGCAGCTGGGGACTGCGGCCAGTGCAGCAGCTCCTCTGGCTTTGGTGCCACACAGCCCACAGCGTCTCCTCACTGCCACAAGATCGGCTCCAGCTTCACCCCAGCGCCAACAACACGCTGTGGGCAGCCCAGCTCCCCCCCTGCAGTGGCCTCAGGCTCCATCGGGAGGAACGCGTGGCCCTGAGGCTGCCCAGGAATGTCCGTCTCTAGCATTGCTCAGAGGGCTGCACCCAGTGCTCCTCCAAAAGCAGGAACAGAAAGTGAAAGCGATCTGACAGCAACCTGAGTCCCAGCACTGCGTGGAGTAAGCAAAAGCCCAGGCTGAACTGCTCCACTTCCGAGAATTCAGGCGCTCAGCAGAAAATGCAGCAGCGTTTGTGCAGGGTTGTTTTTTCCGCCCCTCCCTGCCCTGCGCGGCTTCAGTGAGGCACGGCTTCCGTGCAACAGCCGCAGAGACAGCAAGGCTTGCCGTATGGCTTTCCCCCTGCGCTGTGTCTCAGGCTGTACCCACCGCACACCGCTGTGCCGCCCGCCCTCAGCCTCGCTCTGTGAGCTCTCAGCGCTCAGAGAGATGGGAGGCAGCCTCAGGACGCCCCCGAGGCCACGGCCTCCCACAAAGCCCACATGAACTCCCCGTGCTCCCCAGCACTCAGCCAGGAGCCCGATGGGCTGCAGCTGCCTGCATGCAGAGCTGAGCGGCTCACCTGTGCTGTGACGTCCTGCCATCGGGAGAGCGCTCACACTCACACGGGGAGCCTGGGAGGAGAGAGATGTTGAGTGAGAGGGGCACAAACCTGCCCTGCTTCCCTCCCTGTGCCAATGAAGGTGACACAGATGATCTCTGGGGACTCAGGTCAGTCCCACAACTGCGTGTGCATGGACAAAGCCATATGGCATCAAAATTACTCATCTGCATTGACTTTGTCTGCATCTTAAGAAAGGAATATGGACTGAAAATCAGAACCCACTCCCTGAAAGCAGATTCTGCCGCCTCGGAATTTGTTCCGGCAGTGGCAGCAGAGCTGCAGCAACTCACCAAAGCAGCGCTGCGCTGTGTCCCAGCTCTGACTGCTGCACTCGTGCTGTTGCTGCTCTCGTCCCACACAGCAGCGCCGGGGCTGGAAGCGCTGTGCAGCTCAGCAGCGCTTTTAGAGGCGGCGTCGGGAGGAGGGCAGTGCTGGGATCCCAGGTAGCGCTGCTCCACCATTGGCCACATCTGAGCTGCCCCAGTGCGGGGACACCGCCCGCTGTGCAAAGCCACATCCAGCCTGGACTCGGGCGCTGCCAGGGATGGGGCATCAGCAGCTCTTCCGGGAAACTCATTTATGGCCTCACCACCCTTGTCTTGAATAATTTCTTCATGATACCTAATCTAAACCTGCCCTCTTTTACATTCAAGCCATTCACCTTTGTCCTGTTGGTACATTCTCAGATAAAGGAATTGTTGTGCTGTGCAGTGCTGCAGCCCTGGCACGAGGACCCAGAAGCTGTGAGGTCTCCTCTTTTGAGACCTCTGTTGCCGCACACATGAGGCTGTGCCCCGTGCTCTGGGTGTCCCTGTGCAGGCAGGGCAGACCAAATCCCACATCCCCAAACCACAGCTCACCTCACCTGGGGCCACAGGCACCTCCGTGGTGATTGTGGGTCATGTTTGACAGGCCTTGCTCTGAGGCGCAGGGCTGTGCAGCTCCCTGCTGGCCAGGCCCTGGGGACTCATGGCTGGCTGTGGGGACGGTGGACCCACCTTGGTGACACAATGCTGCGAGGACACACAAGAGCATGGGCAGCTGCATGACAGGGACTGCAGCCCTGCAGACCCCTGCCCAGGGCTGAGCGTCAGAGCAAACCTCATGGTGCGTGGATGGATGCCCATGAAAAGCCCAGTGCCCATCACACTGCTGCCATCCCCGGCCCTGAGCAGTGGGGTGCAGCCCCAGCGCCCCGAGCCACAGCCTGCACTTTCCATATTGCACTGCCTGGAGCTGGGAGCATTTACAGGAAATGCCTCTTTGTGGGACCTTTGGACCACGGCTCACAGCCTGTACTGGGTGGCACCATGGTGGCAGCAGCATTGCTAAGGCACGGCCTGCCCAGGGTGTTGGCATGGAGCATCCCTGCATTCCTACTGGGTTCTATGAGAATATTGGGATCCCAGAATGTCCCAAGTTGGAAGGGGCCCCTGGCTCCGAGTTGGACATGCCAAACCCAAATCCTGTGTCAGAGAGCGGTGTTCCAGCGCTCTGAGCTCTGGCTGCTTGATGGGTTTCATGTCCAACACTGGACAGGAGGAGGGAGCAGGATCATCCCAATTGAGGGGTTCCTGAGAATCACAGAGGAGTTCACCCCTCCAGCAGCTGGGGCATAGTGCTGTACACTGATTTATTGGAGTTGAAGAGGATGAGGCAGAGATGTGCATGCTGTTGCATGGCTATGGCCTCTACCAACAGACAACAGTAGCTTCATATTCCCAAATGTTTACATGATGGACATCACCCGCCCCTATCTTTCTTGTAGGGACATCACAGCTTGCCGTATGCAATCCAATAGGTCACTGGAATTGATGAGTACTTCCTCCTCCAAGTGACTGAATGTCTCTCTCCAATTTACAGGAGGAGGAGGAGGTCTTTGATATATTTATACCCGACGTGAGATTGAGATACAACGGTTCAAATGCCGATCCAGCCAGTTTGTTATGAATCTTAATGAATCAGGGAGATGGGGAAGGGGAGGCCAGTGACTATTACGAATTAGGGCGATGGGAAAGGGAAGGAGGGAGATAGAAAAGATAGAAAAGAAGCAAGAGTGACGTAAAGAGGGGTTAGTCACCACCAAGCCCCAGCAGCGTCCTGTTGCACGCCGTTCCGATGGTCTGAGGCAAAAGTGCAGGGGAGAGCAGCAGCTCCTCCAATCTCGTATCCTCAAAGGGCATTTCTTTACCTCTTTTTACTGCAATTTAACCAGAGCATCTGCTAGGGTAAACTTGCCAGGTTCCCATCATTCAGCCGTTGCTATCAGAGGCGGTTCCCTCTCTCAGCTCGGTAGGATTTCTCCACCAGTGTCCCATGTCCCTGCATTGCACACTGCTTTCAGCCCAGCAGGGGTGGAACCCTCTGCGGGCTCTTCCAGCCCCCCCCAAACTCTTCCTGAGGGGATCTCTGGGTCCTATGGCTCTACTCTAGTGCAGCAACACTAGCAGCTGCTGCTATTCTTCACAGTTTCCTTACTATCCCTGTTCCCAATCAGTTTTTCCATATTGCTCACCTCTCTTCAGTCCTGACATCCCTGTTACACTCTGCTCATCTTTTCCTTCCTCACCCTGTGTCTTTCCCAGCCTTTTATTTACTTTCCAAACTCTCATCATTACATAATGATGGGCCCCTCACTGCAAGAAAGATATGGAGGCCCTGGAACGTGTTCAAAGGAGGGCAACAAAGCTGGTGAGGGGTCTGGAACACAGGGCTGATGAGGAGAGGCTGAAAGAGCTGGGAATGTTCAGCCTGGAGAAGAGGAGCTCAGGGGAGACCTCATTGCTCTCTATAACTTCCTGAAGGGAGGCTGTAGTGAGCTGGGGGTCGGCCTCTTCTCTCGTGTCATCAGTGATAGGAGCAGGGGGAATGGCTTCAAGCTACAGCAGGGGAGATTCAGGCTGGACATGAGGAAGTATTACTGTTCAGAAAGGGTGGTCAGGCAGTGGAATGGATGCCCAGGGAGGTGGTGGAGTCACCGAGCCTGGGGGTGTTCAAGGAAAGGCTGGATGCTGTGTTGAGGGACATGGTCCCTCAGTGGGGACCTTTAGTGGGAGCTGTTGGGGATAGGTGAACGGTTGGACTGGATGAGCTTTGAGGTCTTTTCCAACCTTGGTGATTCTATGATTCTATGATCCGATGATTCTATGATAAACTACTAACATCATATTTCAGTTTCACCTCCTCCCCTTTGGAGACTTCCAGTGCTAACACTGGGATTTGGGGTTTCCTAGATCTCTGCAGATGAAGGCTATTCTCACTTCCAATGCCCTGTCACCTCCAGCCCCCCTCTCAAGTAATGCTGATTACAGCAGCAGTCTCTGGCCCAGCTCTGTCTCTGTTCTGCTCATGGGGGAACGGTGCTGGGGGAGGTTGCTCTCATGCCAGCACAGATAAACTCACTTTCTCTTCAACCCTTTTCCCTTTTTCACTACCCCACTATTCATATCCTCAGTTACACTGCCACGTGCCCTCACTTATGCTTCCATATACCATTAACAACCACACTTTCTTACACCCTCAAAACAGTTTGTCCCATTCCCTTCAAAACCCACGAATCAAACAGCGCAGTTCTTCAGTTTCCACAAGCACACAGTACTTGGTCTCACGATTAGAACTCACCATTGTAAAAACTGGCTCTGTTACTTCACGTATGTTCTCGGTTTCTTAGTCAGTGTCCTCCCTGGCTCATTGGTGACGTTTCTCCAGTGAGTCAAAATACAATCCGGAATGGTCTTTTCCAAAATTACTTTTGACACCATTTGTCCCATAACAGCTAGCCCTGAAATCAGGCACCGCCTCAGGTGCCCACAGCTCTAGCCAGCCTGGTCATGAGCACCTCCAGGATTCAGGCATCCCTCTTAGTGAAGGATTTCCCCTAGACATTGACTTCAAATCTCTCCTCTTTTAGTTTAAATCCATTCCCCCTTGCCCACAATCTGCCCATGGAAAAAGTCGGCCCCCCTGCACTTTATAAGGACTCTTCAGGTACCAGATGACTGCAGTGAGGTCTCATCAGAGCCTTCTCTTTCCCAGGCTGAACACCCTCAGCTCACTCTGCGGAAGCTGGTGAAGGTTTGCGGGAAGCAGTGCTGTGCTGTGAGCAACAGTGTTTGCCGTAATTAAGATCTGATCACCGTGACGAGACCCACGGGTCCATGCCCAAAAAAGGGCGGGGGAAAGTGGAAGGCGGGGGGGGGAAGGGAGATGGATCCAGACAAGGGAAGCGGTGGCAATGAGCTAAGGAAAGAAATACATAGTATTCTAATTGTAGTAGTGAAATGTAATTGGAATTGAAGCTACTGAACAAACGAGAGTTTCCAAAACGCAAAGCTCTCGTGCCGATGCTGCAGCAGCTGTGACACACAGGCAGCAAAGGAGAGCGCTGCTGTGAGCTTTGGGTTCTGCTGTCATCGCCTCCTCCTGGAAGATGGAAATCACAAAATAAAGCGTTGTGGGAGCGCCGTGCCTTTCTGGGAGTTGTAGCTCATTCTTCGGAGCCGCCGCGTCGCCCCGTTGACTCCCATCGCTGCGTGACGCAGGGAATGTGGAATAACGAGGAAAAAACTCGAAACCGCGACGGCTGCGCGGCTGCGGCCGGGGCCGAACGGCGCCGGGTGAGAGCGGGCACCGAGGAGCCGCCCCGGCTCGGAGCCGCCCTGCGAGCAGCCCCGGTGCCGGCGACGCCCCGCTCCCCGTCGGGCCGGCAGCCCCCAGGGGAGCGCGTCGCGTCGCGGAGGGTCGGGAAGCGTCCGGCCACCCCGGAGCCCCCGGCGTGGGGCGCGGAGGAGCTCGGCTGGGGGACGCGGCGCTGCGGGAGCGCGGGGCGGCGGGGCGGCGCGTCCGTTCGAGCTCGGCGGGGCGGCGGTGCCGCGCGGCTCCGCTGCCCGGGACGGCGCTGAGGGAACCGAGCGCGTTGACGGGAAACGGTCGCATTGACGGGAAAGGCACTTAAGGAATGCGCCACCTTCGGCCCGGCTGCCGGCGGGGCGGCCGCACCCCGGGGAGCGGCAGCCAACCCTCGGCTGCTCCCCATGACTCTGCGCCCCGGGCTGCCCTCGAACGGCCCTTCGTGCTCCGACCCCGCGACCCCCATAAAAGCCGGCCGGGCTCCCGCGGTGACGCTTAGGAGCGAGCGGCGGAGCGGCTCGTGGAGGGCTTACGGCGTGCACGCGGTGGACGCGCCCGACGCCTTCGACTCGCCGGAGCGCAGCGCCCGGTGCCGCCGCGACGTCGCCCGCTGCGCGCTGCGCGGGGTGGGCGCGGGGTTTGGGGAGATCCCTGAGCATGGCTTATGGAGGCACTAAAGGATAATTACGGTAATTAGTGTAATATTTGTGTTTTAATTAGCGCTCTGCATGCAGCATTGCTTCCTCCTGCTCCCAGCGGTCCAGGGCGCCGTCAGCAGCATCAGCACTGTTCTGAAACCAGCGGGAATCACAGCCCGGACAGAGCCCATCCCCACGAGGGGCCTCTGGAAAAGGGAGGAGAAAGTGCAGCTGTTGTTCCTTGACGCCGTCAGGGGGAACTCGAGCCCCCAAGGGAGCGCAGGGCGCTGAGCTCTGGGCTATGTGACAACAGCAAGTGAAAGCAATCGTGCTGCTCTTGCTGCCCTCGGGTGAACCAAAGCCCGGGCTGAGCCGCTCCCATTCCCGAAAGTCACACGCTGAGCAGGAACCACACGGCCCCTCTGGGCCCCGTCCAGCCCCGTGCAGCAGGCAAAGGGACGGCCGGGGGTGGGGGGGTTCCCCTTGTGCGGGGTCTCTGCAGCCCCGGGACCGCTGCCCTCAGCTGCACACAGAGCTGAGAGACAACGCAGTCATTGTCAGCAGCCAACGCGGGCTGGTGAGGGGCAAAACCTGTCCTGGGAACTCGGTGTGCAGGTCCAGCAGTCACCCACTGAGCTGCTCGTGGGGATCCAGCCGGTTGGATGCAGAGCTGTTTCGGCTCCTGCAGTGCCTCCATAGCATTGCTCCCAGGAACCTGCAGGCACAACGCCTGGCACACAGCTGGACACGGGCACGGTGTGATGGGTGAATGCTGGGCTGGCCGTGTTGAGACACGGGGGGAGATGTGCTGGTGGCAGTCACTGGGGGCTCCACAGGGCTCCATCTCAGGGCTGATTCTCTCCGTGTTCCCTTCAGTGACTGGGTTTGGCTTCTCAGTATGGGGGGAGGAGGAGCAGAGGTCGGACAGCAGCCGCACAGAAGGGCTCTGGGGGCTGTGGGACGGCCCGGTGCATGTGAGCCATTAGAATGCCCTGCAGCCAAAAGAGCCCCAACCGCTGGGTGCAGCAGCCCAGCAGTGCTGGTGAGGGAAGGGACTGTGCCCTCTGCTCTGTGCTGCAGCCTGACCTCGAGCATGGGGTGCTGCTGCGTGAGAAGGGCATGGGGCTGTTAGAGTGGGTGGTCTGCAGAGGTGCCTGAGGCCCCAAGTGAGCTGTGGTTTGGGGATGCTGGGATTTGGTCTCCCCTGCCTCCACAGGGACACGCAGAACAGGTGGCACAGCCTCATGTGTGAGGGCTGAATGTGCACTAGGAGAAAACCCCACAGCCTCTGGGTCCTTGTGCCAGGGCTGCAGCACTGCACGGCACGGCTGTGCTTCTGTTCACTGAGAGTGAACCAATAGGACAAAGGAGAATGGCTGACGTAAATGGAGCAGTTTCAGAGAAGGTGTCGTGAAGGAATTCCTCAAGACAAGAGTGGTGAGGCCATAAATAAGTTTCCCGGAAGAGCTGCTGATGCCCCATCCCTGGCAGCGCCCGAGTCCAGGCTGGATGTGGCTTTGCACAGCGGGCGGTGTCCCCGCACTGGGGCAGCTCAGATGTGGCCAATGGTGGAGCAGCGCTACCTGGGATCCCAGCACTGCCCTCCTCCCGACGCCGCCTCTAAAAGCGCTGCTGAGCTGCACAGCGCTTCCAGCCCCGGCGCTGCTGTGCGGGACGAGAGCAGCAACAGCACGAGTGCAGCAGTCAGAGCTGGGACACAGCGCAGCGCTGCTTTGGTGAGTTGCTGCAGCTCTGCTGCCATTTGCCGGAACAAATTCCGAGGCAGCAGAATCTGCTTTCAGGGAGTGGGTTCTGACTTCATGAATGAGGGTCAGCCAACATTTCTTTCCAAAGGCAAAGTCAATGCAGATGGGTAACTTTGATGCCACTTGTCTTTGTCCATGCACACGCAGCTGTGGGACTGACCTGAGTCCCCAGAGATCATCTGTGTCACCTTCATTGGCACAGGGAGGGAAGCAGGGCAGGTTTGTGCCCCTCTCACTCAACATCTCTCTCCTCCCAGGCTCCCCGTGTGAGTGTGAGCGCTCTCCCGATGGCAGGACGTCACAGCACAGGTGAGCCTCTCAGCTCTGCATGCAGGCAGCTGCAGCCCAGCCGGGCTCCTGGCTGAGTGCTGGGAAGCACGGGGAGTTCATGTGGGCTCTGTGGGAGGCCGTGGCCTCGGGGGCGTCCTGAGGCTGCCTCCCATCTCCGCCCTGAGAGCTCACAGAGCGAGGCTGAGGGCGGGCGGCACAGCGGTGTGCGGTGGGTACAGCCTGAGACACAGCGCAGGGGGAAAGCCATACGGCAAGCCTTGCTGTCTCTGCGGCTGTTGCACGGAAGCCGTGCCTCACTGAAGCCGCGCAGGGCAGGGAGGGGCGGAAAAAACAACCCTGCACAAACGCTGCTGCATTTTCTGCTGAGCGCCTGAATTCTCGGAAGTGGAGCAGTTCAGCCTGGGCTTTTGCTTACTCCACGCAGTGCTGGGACTCAGGTTGCTGTCAGATCGCTTTCACTTTCTGTTCCTGCTTTTGGAGGAGCACTGGGTGCAGCCCTCTGAGCAATGCTAGAGACGGACATTCCTGGGCAGCCTCAGGGCCACGCGTTCCTCCCGATGGAGCCTGAGGCCACTGCAGGGGGGGAGCTGGGCTGCCCACAGCGTGTTGTTGGCGCTGGGGTGAAGCTGGAGCCGATCTTGTGGCAGTGAGGAGACGCTGTGGGCTGTGTGGCACCAAAGCCAGAGGAGCTGCTGCACTGGCCGCAGTCCCCAGCTGCTTCTCCACGGAGTGGGGAAGGTGGCGGTGGGAGCCGTGCTGTGCGCATTTCAGTGCAGCCGTGGGGCGTTGTGTCCCTTTTGCAGCGGATCCTTTGTTCAGAACCTTCAGTTTGGGCTTGGCTTCCTGCTGGGCACGATCAGTTTTCCTGTGGGAGAGCTGAGAGAGGGGACAGGGCCAGGAAGAGCTGAGCGAGCGCTGCGTGCCTGCTGGCAGCCGGCTCCAGCCCGTGCCCCGTCCCGTCCCCGCAGGGCACAGCGGTGGCTCGGGGACACCTTTCCTCGTGGCGCCGGCACTCCGTGGCCAGCAGGGGGTGTCCCGGCACCGCGGGGCTCACACTCGTCTCTGCTTGGTCCACAGGATCCCAGCTGAGCATCATCCTGGTGGGCAAAACAGGGAATGGGAAGAGTGCGACAGGGAACACCATCCTTGGGAGGAAAGCATTTACTTCTGATTTGTCAGCAGAATCGGTAACCCGAGAGTATGAAAAAGAAGAATGTTTGTTCGGTGAGAGATCAATTGAAGTTGTCGACACTCCTGGCCTTTTTGACACTAAGGAAGTCAATGAAAAAACAGCTAAAAAGATTCAGAAAGCCTTTAGGAAACTCTATTCAGGGGTTCACGCCATCATCCTGGTGATGCAGCTGGCCCGAATCAGTAAGGAAGAGCAGGAAGTGGCTGACTGGGTGACCAGAATCTTCCATTCTAAAGCAGAGAGATACACAATCCTCTTATTCACCCGAGCAGAGCAGCTGGAGCATCCAGAAGACCTGAAGGGCTTCATAGACAAGAGCTCATACCTCAAGGGCCTGGCAGCCAAGTGTGGAAATCGGTACATTGGTTTCAGCAACATAGCAACTGGAGAGAAAAGGGATCGGCAGGTTGCAGAGCTCATCAACATGATTGATGCCATGGTAGAGCAGAATGGCAGAGCTCCGCGTTACACAGAAGAAATGCTGGAGGAAGACACACGGACATTCTTTGAAAAGTTTTGTACCATCCTGTAGGCAGCCAGGGGTCAGTCCCAGAACAGGGACCTCCTCTGCTGTGCCGTTCCTGCTGTCTGTATGGGGTGATGTGAGGCAGGGTGTGTGGTGATGGGCCTGAAGGAGCTGTCAATAAACACTGAGCATTGCTGTGTGGAGGAGCATCCGTCTGTGCCCTGGGTTCTGCTGTGCTGAGCAGTGCTGGCAGGAGGTGGTCGCACACACGGTGCAGTGGGGACGAGGCCCAGGGCCGGCTGTGCCTGCGGGGATGGGATGTGGAGGGCTGGTGCCCGTGGCTGTGGGCATGCAGGCTGCTGTGGAGGATGGCGGGGATGTGGAAGGGGAGCTGCCCTCGGTGCGAGAGCTGAGGTTCTCCAGCAGCCTTTGCTGCGAGATGTGTTGTCTGCACTGCTGGAACGGAGCGCGCTTACGGGAAAGGCGTCTGTGGGCCCTTGGGCCTCAGCTGGCGTGTGCAGGTGATGTGGGCGCTCTGCAGCTCGGAGGCAGCAGCAGGACGGGCAGCACATTGCTGGAGGAATGGTCAGGATGAAGCGTTCAGCACACAGCTACACACGCACACAGTGCTGTGGGGGAAGACCGGGGCTCCGGGATCTGGGACGGGGGGGCACTGTGCTGGTGGCAGCCATGGGGGGTTCCGCTGGGCTCCGTGTCAGGGCTGATTCTCTTCAGTGTTCTCTCCATGGCTGGAAACTGTCACTGAGGTGCAGTGAGGAAGGTTCTGGATGGCACTGCACTGCCATGAATCATAGAATCATAGAATCATAGAATCATAGAATCATAGAATCATAGAATCATAGAATCATAGAATCATAGAATCATAGAATCATAGAATCACCAAGGTTGGAAAAGACCTCAAAGCTCATCCAGTCCAACCGTTCACCTATTCCCAACAGCTCCTACTAAATCATGTCCCTCAACACAACATCCAGCCTTTCCTTGAACACCCCCAGGGTCCGTGACTCCACCACCTCCCTGGGCATCCATTTCAGTGCCTGACCACCCTTTCTGAAAAGTAATACTTCCTCATGTCCAGCCTGAATCTCCCCTGCCGTAGCTTGAAACCATTCCCTCTGGTCCTATCACTGATGACACGAGAGAAGAGGCCGACCCCCAGCTCACTACAGCCTCCCTTCAGGAAGTTATAGAGAGCAATGATCTGCTGACTCTGTCAGGGCTGGAGAGGCCATGGAGCGTTCAGGTTGTTCTGGGGATGGCTGTCATGTGGAAGGGGGGCTGCCCCATGTGCAAGAACTGAGGCTCTCTGCCTTCCTTCACTCTTAGTTTCAGTATCTGCACTTCCCAGAGCTGAGTGCAGTTACAGCATGTGTCTGTTTGTGCACTTTGTGCCTCACACAGTGTGTCTGCAGGTGGGGCCCTGCAGCCAAAAGGGCCCCTTCCCCTTCTGGGGGAGCAGAAGGCCCAGCAGTGCTGGCGAGGACAGGGACCGTCCTGTCTGCTTTGTGCTGCGGTCTGACCTCGAGCACAGGGTGCAGGTTGGGTGCTGCTGTGTGAGAAGGACACGGAGCTGTGAGAGAGCATCCAAAGGATGGTTGTGGAGATGGGGAAGGGTCTGCAGGGCAAGGGGTGTGAGGAGAGCTGAGGGCCCTGTGTTTATTGGGCCCAAAGCAGAGGAGGCTGAGGGGAGGGCTCACTGCAGCTGCACCTCCTCATGGATCTACAGCTCCTCAAAGGCTGCGGATGGGCAGCACTGAGCTCAGCTCTCTGTGGCAGCAGCAGGGCGTGAGGGAACAGCATGGAGCTGTCAGGGGAGGGTTGGATGGAGGAAAGGGTAAGGCTCTGCCCCAGAGGATGGTGAGCAGGGAGCAACTCGCCTCGGCAGTGGGCATGAACTCGAGTGCTGGGACCACACTGCCAGAGTGCTGGGACTCCACTCTCACACAAAGGGTTTTTGTTTGGCTTGTCCAACGTGGAGTCAAGGATCCCTTCCAACTCAGGACATTCTGTGATCCCACCATCTTCATGCACTCAGGGGGGGAACACAATCACAGAATGTCAGGGATTGGAAGCGACCTCAAGAGATCGTAGAATCATAGAATGGCCTGGGTTGAAAAGGACCACAATAATCATCGACTTTCAACCCTCCTGCTATGGGCAGGTCACCAACCAGCAGCCCAGGCTGCCCAGAGCCACATCCAGCCTGGCCTTGAATGCCTGCAGGGATGGGGCATCCACAGCCTCCTTGGGCAACCTGTGCCAGTGCCTCACCACCCTCTGGCTCAAAAACTTCCTCCTCATATCCAACCCAAACTTCCCCTGTCTCACTTTAAAACCATTCCCCTTGTCCCATCACCACCCACCCTCACACACAGCCATTCCCCCCCTGTTTATCCGCTCCCTTCAAGCACTGAAGGCCACCATGAGGTCTCCCCCCGGCCTTCTCTTCTCCAAGCTCAAAAAGCCCAGATCCCTCAACCTTTCCTCACAGCAGAGCTGCTCCAGCCCTGTGCTCATCTCAGTGTCCTCCTCTGGACTCGCTCCAAGAGCTCCACGTCCTTCCTGTGCTGGGGGCCTGAAGTCCCTTTTGATTGTCCCAGAACTTGTTTTGCCTACCTTTTCATTTCCAATGTGGAAAACCAGTAGTGAATAATAATCGGAGGGCTTAACGAGGCGAGCGATGTTCCTGGCAGCACCTCACCTGGGCACCAGGCAGGCAGCAGAGCTCCCTGTGGGACGGATCCAAGCAGCATATCGGGCCCTCGGTTCGCCTCAGAAGGAAGTCCCTTACAACAACAGCCCTTCTTTTTTTCCTGACTGACGCTGTAGCAGACTGACTAACCTTGGGCAACCTCTCCTGCACGGATGGACTTTCACTGATATGCACATCCCCCCAGTCCCTCCAGCTCCAGAGACTCATACCTGTTACGTAAGGGCACCTGGGAAGGTGAGACAGGCTGAGGGGCAGTCGGCTTACTGCCCCAAACAGGGACTGGTTTCCATCCCTCGCCGTCTTTGAGGTCGCCCCTTTCCACCTGACTGTGAGAAGGCAGACGATCCCCCACTCTTGAGGAGCATCTCCAGCACCCTTCCAGTAGGGATGGCAGAACAACTCCACCAATCGATCCCCTTCCCGCAATCCCAGGCGCTCCTCAGCCTTTCTGCTTCCTCCTTTAGCTTCCCACTATGCTGAGCAGCGAGATATCAACCCTCCTCCCCGTGCAGCTGTGTGAACAGGTTTGCAGTTTTGCTTCATCAGAACAGCCCACGTGGTTCACACACTGGGACTCCTCTCAGTCTCCGAGGCTTTTTCCAGGCTGGGGGCACAGCAATGCCCGCTTCACTTCAGCTGCTCTTGCAACACTGCTCACTTTCTCTGTATCTTCTGTCCCCAAGGCGCCCTCCTCTTTCACCACTGAGCCGACTTTGCCTCTAGCTTTGGTTTTATCTGGGTTGTATTTGAAGAAGCCCTTTTCGTTGTTCTTGACCCCTCTTGCGAGGTTTAATTCTAAGCCTTAGCTTTCCTAGTTGCCTGCCTACATCCTCTGACAAGTCTTATAATCCTCCCAGGTGACCAGTCATTCCTTCCATGATCTGTGGACTCTCCTCTTCCACTCGAGCTTGCCCAGCAGTTTCCTGTTGAACCGTGCAGGTCTCCTCGCTCCCTTTCTGAACTTCCTACCTGCTGGGATGTGCTGATCATCAGCTTGGAAGAAATGGTCCTTGATTGCTAACCAACAACCCTGTGCCCCTTTACCTTCAAGTACCCCATCCCATGGCATTTCCCCTAGCAATTGCTTGAGAAGGCCAAAGTTGGCCCTTCTGAAGTCCAGAGCTGTGATTTGGTTCTGCTCCGTATTCCGTTCTTGCCACACGAGATCCTGAATTCCACCACCACATGATCTCTGCAGCCAAGGCTGCCCTCAGCCTTCAGCATTTCAACCTTACCCTCCTTATTAGTGAGAATAAGATCCAGCAGCGCTCCTCTCCTGGTTGGTTCATCCACTGTTTGCATCAGGAAGTTACCATCAATGCTTGGGAGGAACCTCTGGAACTGCAGCTGCTGGGCTGAGGAGGCCTTCCAGCAGATACCAGGGTAGTTAAAATCCCCACGATAACCACATAATGGTGAGGCTGCTAGCAGCTGCTTGCAGAAGGCCTCGTCCGCTTCCTCATCCTGATCTGGTGGCCTGTAATAGACAGCCACAACAGTATCACCCATGCCAGTCTGCCCCTTAATTCTCACCCACAAATTCTCAACCTGCTCCTATCTGCCACTGCACAGTACTCAATACTGTAGTTGCTCTCTCATGTAAAGAGCAACCTTGCCTTGCTGGCCTGAATTCCCAGAGAAGGACACAGCCATCCATGACCACATTCCAGCCGTGTGATCTGTCCCACCACGTTTCTGTAATTGCCACCAGATCACAATCTGCCTAAACACAGATTTTTAACTCCTCCTGCTTATTTTCCACGATGTGTGCAATGGTCTAAAGGCATTTCAGGGAGCATGCTGAGCATGCTGATTTCAAACTAGGGGGGTGGGAGGCCTCCCGGGCTACATCAGTATCACAATGCTGCCCCACAAGTGCAAGTCCATCCACAACCCCATCCCTTTCAAATCAAGTCTGGGATGCTCCATGCCCCCACCCTGGGCAGGCCGTGCCTTAGCAATGCTGCTGCCAGCATGGTGCCACCCAGTACAGGCTGTGAGCTGTGGTCCAAAGGTCCCACAAAGAGGCATTTCCTGTAAATGCTCCCAGCTCCAGGCAGTGCAATATGGAAAGTGCAGGCTGTGGCTCGAGGTGCTGGGGCTGCACCCACAGCTCACAGGCAAGGACAGCAGCAGTGTGATGGGCACTGGGCTTTTCATGGGCATCCATCCACGCACCAGCAACACTGCCCCATTCTCAGCTGCAGGCAGACGTCTGCACAGCTGCAGTCCTTGCCATGAAGCAGCCCATGTCCTCGTGTGTACTCACAGCAATGCGTCTCCAGGGCCAGTCCAGTGTGCCCATGGCCAGCCATTAGTCCCCAGGCCCAGGCCTGCAGGGAGCTGCACAGCACTGCACCTCAGAGCAAGGCCTGCCAAACATGACCTGCAATCACCAAAGCACATCCACAGCTTCCTTGGTGCCACAGCCGGTCTGAGCAAGAAGAGCTGAGGCAATGGACACAACTTGAAGCGTAGGAACTCTGAGGGAACATCAGCACTCCCTTTCCTGTCTGTGCAGGTGGGTGAGCACCACTGCGGCTGCCCAGCACTGCAGTGGGGTCTCCGTCCCTGCAGAGGTTGCACAGCCAAAGGGACGCAGCCCTGGGCAGCGGGCGATGGGGGACCGATGGGCGGGGATGGAGGGGCGGTGTGCAGAAATGCCTGAGCCCTGGTGAGCTGTGGTTTGGGGATGTGGGATTTGGTCTGCCCTGCCTGCACAGGGACACCCAGAGCAGGGGGCACAGCCTCATGTGTGCAGCAACAGAGGTCTCAAAAGAGGAGACCTCACAGCTTCTCGGTCCTCGTGCCAGGGCTGCAGCACTGCACGGCACAACAATTCCTTTATCTGAGAATGTACCAACAGGACAAAGGTGAATGGCTTGAATGTAAAAGAGGGCAGGTTTAGATTAGGTATCATGAAGAAATTATTCAAGACAAGGGTGGTGAGGCCATAAATGAGTTTCCCGGAAGAGCTGCTGATGCCCCATCCCTGGCAGCGCCCGAGTCCAGGCTGGATGTGGCTTTGCACAGCGGGCGGTGTCCCCGCACTGGGGCAGCTCAGATGTGGCCAATGGTGGAGCAGCGCTACCTGGGATCCCAGCACTGCCCTCCTCCCGACGCCGCCTCTAAAAGCGCTGCTGAGCTGCACAGCGCTTCCAGCCCCGGCGCTGCTGTGCGGGACGAGAGCAGCAACAGCACGAGTGCAGCAGTCAGAGCTGGGACACAGCGCAGCGCTGCTTTGGTGAGTTGCTGCAGCTCTGCTGCCACTGCCGGAACAAATTCCAAGGCAGCAGAATCTGCTTTCAGGGAGTGGGTTCTGACTTCTATGAATACAATTCATCCAATATCTCTTTCCAAAGATGCAGACAAAGTCAATGTTGATGGGTAACTTTGATGCCACTTGTCTTTGTCCATGCACACGCAGCTGTGGGACTGACCTGAGTCCCCAGAGATCATCTGTGTCACCTTCATTGGCACAGGGAGGGAAGCAGGGCAGCTTTGTGCCACTCTCACTCAACATCTCTCTCCTCCCAGGCTCCCCGTGTGAGTGTGAGCGCTCTCCCGATGGCAGGACGTCACAGCACAGGTGAGCCGCTCAGCTCTGCATGCAGGCAGCTGCAGCCCAGCCGGGCTCCTGGCTGAGTGCTGGGGAGCACGGGGAGTTCATGTGGGCTCTGTGGGAGGCCGTGGCCTCGGGGGCGTCCTGAGGCTGCCTCCCATCTCCGCCCTGAGAGCTCACAGAGCGAGGCTGAGGGCGGCACAGCGGTGTGCGGTGGGTACAGCCTGAGACACAGCGCAGGGGGAAAGCCATACGGCAAGCCTTGCTGTCTCTGCGGCTGTTGCACGGAAGCCGTGCCTCACTGAAGCCGCGCAGGGCAGGGAGGGGCGGAAAAAACAACCCTGCACAAACGCTGCTGCATTTTCTGCTGAGCGCCTGAATTCTCGGAAGTGGAGCAGTTCAGCCTGGGCTTTTGCTTACTCCACGCAGTGCTGGGACTCAGGTTGCTGTCAGATCGCTTTCACTTTCTGTTCCTGCTTTTGGAGGAGCACTGGGTGCAGCCCTCTGAGCAATGCTAGAGACGGACATTCCTGGGCAGCCTCAGGGCCACGCGTTCCTCCCGATGGAGCCTGAGGCCACTGCAGGGGGGGAGCTGGGCTGGGGTTGTTGTTGGCGCTGGGGTGAAGCTGGAGCCGATCTTGTGGCAGTGAGGAGACGCTGTGGGCTGTGTGGCACCAAAGCCAGAGGAGCTGCTGCACTGGCCGCAGTCCGCAGCTGCTTCTCCACGGAGTGGGGAAGGTGGCGGTGGGAGCCGTGCTGTGAGCATTTCAGTGCAGCCGTGGGGCGTTGTGTCCCTTTTGCAGCGGATCCTTTGGTCAGAACCTTCAGTTTGGGCTTGGCTTCCTGCTGGGCACGATCAGTTTTCCTGTGGGAGAGCTGAGAGAGGGGACAGGGCCAGGAAGAGCTGAGCGAGCGCTGCGTGCCTGCTGGCAGCCGGCTCCAGCCCGTGCCCCGTCCCGTCCCCGCAGGGCACAGCGGTGGCTCGGGGACACCTTTCCTCGTGGCGCCGGCACTCCGTGGCCAGCAGGGGGTGTCCCGGCACCGCGGGGCTCACACTCGTCTCTGCTTGGTCCACAGGATCCCAGCTGAGCATCATCCTGGTGGGCAAGACGGGGAATGGGAAGAGTGCGACAGGGAACACCATCCTTGGGAGGAAAGCATTTACTTCTGATTTGTCAGCAGAGTCGGTAACCCGAGAGTGTGAAAAAGAAAAATGTTTGTTCGGTGAGAGATCAATTGAAGTTGTCGACACTCCCGGCCTTTTTGACACTAAGGAAGTCAATGAGAAAACAGCTGAAAAGATTCAGAAAGCCTTTAAGAAACTCTATTCAGGGGTTCACGCCATCATCCTGGTGATGCAGCTGGGACGAGTCAGTAAGGAAGAGCAGGAAGTGGCAGAGTGGGTGACCAGAATCTTCCATTCTAAAGCAGAGAGATACACAATCCTCTTATTCACCCGAGCAGAGGAGCTGAAGCCTCCAGAAGATCTGAAGGGCTTCATAGACAGGAGCCCATACCTCAAGGGCCTGGCAGCCAAGTGTGGAAATCGGTACATTGGTTTCAGCAACATAGCAACTGGAGAGAAAAGGGATCGGCAGGTTGCAGAGCTCATCAGCATGATTGATGCCATGGTAGAGCAGAATGGCAGAGCTCCGCGTTACACAGAAGAAATGCTGGAGGAAGACACACGGACATTCCGTGAAAAGTTTTGTACCATCCTGTAGGCAGCCAGGGGTCAGTCCCAGAACAGGGACCTCCTCTGCTGTGCCGTTCCTGCTGTCTGTATGGGGTGATGTGAGGCAGGGTGTGTGGTGATGGGCCTGAAGGAGCTGTCAATAAACACTGAGCATTGCTGTGTGGAGGAGCATCCGTCTGTGCCCTGGGTTCTGCTGTGCTGAGCAGTGCTGGCAGGAGGTGGTCGCACACACGGTGCAGTGGGGACGAGGCCCAGTGCCGGCTGTGCCTGCGGGGATGGGATGTGGAGGGCTGGTGCCCGTGGCTGTGGGCATGCAGGCTGCTGTGGAGGATGGCGGGGATGTGGAAGGGGAGCTGCCCTCGGTGCGAGAGCTGAGGTTCTCCAGCAGCCTTTGCTGCGAGATGTGTTGTCTGCACTGCTGGAACGGAGCGCTTACGGGAAAGGCGTCTGTGGGCCCTTGGGCCTCAGCTGGCGTGTGCAGGTGATGTGGGCGCTCTGCAGCTCGGAGGCAGCAGCAGGACGGGCAGCACATTGCTGGAGGAATGGTCAGGATGAAGCGTTCAGCACACAGCTACACACGCACACAGTGCTGTGGGGGAAGACCGGGGCTCCGGGATCTGGGACGGGGGGGCACTGTGCTGGTGGCAGCCATGGGGGGTTCCGCTGGGCTCCGTGTCAGGGCTGATTCTCTTCAGTGTTCTCTCCATGGCTGGAAACTGTCACTGAGGTGCAGTGAGGAAGGCTGTGGATGGCACTGCACTGCCAGGAGCTGCTGACTCTGTCAGGGGCAGAAAGTTTTACAGAGAGACCCTGAGCAATGGGAGGGATGGCCGGCAATGCCCAACGGAATGGAGGTGAATTGGAGTGAGAGCTGCATTCTGCACCTGAGACAGGACTGCCCTGGATACATGTACAGAGTGGGGGATGAGAGACCAGACAGCAGCCTCACAGAAGAGCTCTGGGAGAGATGGCACTGATGGCTGTGGGGCATTCAGGCGGTTCTGGGGATGGAGGTTGTTTGGGAGCTGCCCTCAGTGCAAGAACTGAGGCTCTCTGCCTTCCTTCACTCTTAGTTTCAATATCTGCATTTCCCGGAGCTGAGAGCAGTTACAGGATGTGTCTGTTTGTGCACTTTGTGCCTCACGCAGTGTGTCTGCAGGTGGGGCCAGGCACTCCCTGGCTCAGGGCGCTCCCAGGGCAGCACAGGGCAAGGCCAGGCTGCATCACCGCACAGCCCAGGGCTCTGCCTTCCTGCTCCCTGCAGGCAGCACAGCACCACGCTGCTGCTCAATGCCTCTGCTCACGTGGGGTGGAGAGCGGTGGGAACAGCAGCAGTGCGAGGCCTCGTGGGCTGGGACGAGGACAGTTCAGTTGGTAAAGCAAAAGCTGTGCCTTCAGCTGAGCAGCGATCTTCTTCTAGAGGTTAGACAGACAAAGAAAGTGCCTGGCCACTGGGATTGGGATGGGATGATATGGGAGAAACGCAGAGATGCTGTTCAACATTGCAGGGAAAAACTGGATGCGACCAAAGCTCAATTAGATGTGAAGCTGTCCAGTGCTGCTGGGAACAGCAAAAAGTGTGTGTTTAAATAGGTGAAGAATAAAGAGACGACCAGAGATTACATCAGCCCACTACATTACCCTGGAGAAAAGAAGGCTGCGGGGTGACCTCATTGCAGCCTTTCAATACCTAAAGGGAGCCTACAGAGGGGAAGGGAATCAACTCTTTGAAAGGGTTGATATGTGTAGGACAAGGGGAAATGGCTTTAAGTTGAGGGAGGGGAGATTTAGGTCAGACATCAGGGGGAAATTCTTTACCCAGAGAGTGGTGAGGTACTGGAACAGGCTGCCCAGAGAGGTTGTGGATGCCCCATCCTTGGAGGTGTTCAAAGCCAGGTTGATGGGGCCCTGGGCAGCCTGGTTTAGCATTAAACGTGGAGGTTGGTGGCCCTGCATGTGGCAGGGGGGTTGGAGATTCATGATCCTTGAGGTCCCTTCCAACCCTGGGCATTCTGTGATGCTGTGATTACAGTCACCTCTCCTTAGCAATGCACACAAAGGCTCTGCACCTCTGACTTCAATAGCAGTGATGCTGCAGAGATGGGGAAGGGGCATGAGTAGAGCTGAGGGCCCTCGTGCAAGCAGGTTCTAGAAGAAGCTGTATAGGAAACCACATGAGAGACTGAAGTCGTGCACGGGAAGCGGTTCTGTGGCATCAGTGGAAGAGCTGCTCTTTAGCAGTGATAGCAACACAATGAAGTTGCTAGAGAAAAAAGCTTGAGATCGAGGAGAGCACTTGGTAAAAATGGTGAAGAAACAGAACAGTGTAAGAACAACAGTTAGCCAAGAAAAAGCTGAAAAGAATAGCCTCAAGAGCAGGAAGCCTATGGGAGTCTTGAAGCTACACAGGCTTAGAAGCAGAGACCAAAAGGGTAAACAGGAAACAAGCAAAACACCCCGCACCAATTAATTCCCATATGGCTCAATAAGGAGTTGAGGAGGTGGTCAGAAAGAAAAGGCTGGAATTTAAAGAAATGGAAGGGGTGTCCACATACAGAAAACAGAGAACTCTCAGATGTGAAACTCTCAGATGTGGAGCTGCTGGCACACGTGTGTGTTATCCATCTCACAAAGGGCTGCCCTGCAGTGCTGCTAATGTAATTCCCACCTACAAGACAGGCTCTATAAAGTATCCACCAATTAGGGGCCTGCAAATGGCCTCCTTGGCAATGTGAGAGCCTATGGTACACAATCAACACACTGTGAACATGGAATAACACAGCCCGTATGGAAAAAACAAGGCACAGGTTTGTAAAAGTGAAATGAAGCTTCAGTGGGCTGCTGGATTTACTCATGAAGCAGCTGGCTCAGGGGAATTCAGGTGACTTTTGGGTAAAGAGAATTAGGGGGCACTTCAAAAACCCTCCGAGGTTCAACACTGTGCAATATTGTTTCCTACTGAGTATTTTAACACCTTTCCAGTCTGTCAGTAATTTCCTATGTTCCCACAGCAGCTCAAACACCAATTCTATGAAGTCAAGTGAGTGTCACAACCTTCAAGAGCTCTAGTGCTACTTTAAAAGCATCTGTCAATTACTTAATAGCAATCCTCCTTAATGCAATGTTGCTATCTATGTTTCACATCCAAGGTTAATTTAATGCTTCAGACTAATGTTTCAAGAACAACTGCATGAAATGATTTGTCTTGGAAGAGCACAAAGAACTGCAGTTATTCATGTGAATAAGAAAACACAAATCACACAAGAGAGAAAATTATATCTATAGAATGCAAATATGCAGAGATGAACCATTATGCCAGGCAGAGCAGAGGAAGATTTAAGATCCAGGGTAAAATTACAGCTGTAAGCAGTACTTTTGTTTTTTATTGTTAAGCAAAAGGGAATGTGGTTCACCTCAAACTCTTAGTCAAGACAGTTAAGGTGCCACTGTGCCATCTGGAAAGCCTTTTAACATCCATCCCAGTACAACAGAACTTTGAGCACACATGCTTCCTTCCAAACAAAAGGAACGATCACAAACACTTCACAGCTGCACACAAGCTACCAGCACCATTAGGACAAAACTTGGTCCCATGGTAAAACCAAGGAGGGTAAGTTTCAGTGATGGGATCTGCTTGCTCAGCAGGAAGTGGAGCGGACACTTGACTTTTACTGCATCACTAAGTCTGGTTGATGATAAGAAGTAGACAGACAGACAGACAGACATGTCTATCACAGGAGAGTCATCACCATGAAAGAAGTTGAGTGCCCCAAATATCCCTCAGCCAAGTGCTGTCTGGTACAAACTGATCGCTGTACCAAACTCTCACAAAATCTCCTTTCAAAAAATGAAGTATGAGCTTCGCTGTCCATTTCTTGTTCACAGAACATTTGTGCATTTTACAATTAGGAAATCCTTTCTATGTTCCACTTCTTTTCCTATGGCAAATAAGGAAATGTTCTGCATTTTGTTCACTAAAAACATCCAGAAAGCTGTGGCTGCTGTACTCCAGACTTTCCAGTAAGGTTTGGAGAAACACAATAAGTTCACGTTTTAAAGCAATACCCTGGTGTAGCATTTGGGAACAGGACTCCTAATGTCTGGATTGTCCCTGTAGAAACAGTGCTTTCCCAGATACGTCTGAGCAAGGCAATGCAGTCTGGATTCATGGGGCTGGAGAAGTGGCAGCAGATAACCAACTGCAGAGAGGGAAGGGCAGTTTTTACAGCGTCATTGAACTGCTTGTCCCTGTGGCTTCAGCGCCGTGCAGAACCCAGGCACTGCTGGCTCTAGGAACCAATGCTTTCACTGATAAAGAGAGCAGCCATCAGGCTCTGACTGCTGACCAGCAGGGGCACCTCGACTCTGCTGACAAGCCCGCTGATGGGAACTTGCTGTGGATATTTTGGATCTGAGATGCATCCATGAGGTGTAGGGAACTGCCTCTCCCACATCTATCCTGACCAGCTCCACCTCGGCCCTCCCCCCCCCTGCGCTTCTTCCTAGACTTTGAGAAATCTTTTGTCTTGTACTTGAATATCAAACTGCATTGGTACTGTAAAGACTCGTGCACAACAGTGGCGTTGGTCAGTACAGTGTTCACTGCAAGGCAGCTGGACTCGATGGCCCTTAAAGGTCCCCTTCCAACTCCAAGGATTTTATGGTACCGAGGTCTGCTCTCCACGCCAATGCCAGCAGCTGAGCTCCAGCGCTTCTCCCACTGCTGCAATACTGAACGATAATCGCGAGAGGGCACCCCTGGCACGTCCACTGTAGTACGGGGAAAGAACAGAGCAGTTCTCTCTCCCATCAGTAAACAGAGTATCAAAAGCTGATCGCAGGTTAACAGTGCTGTCGCTATGCACACGCCTAACAGCAACCTTTCCGAAGCACTGTTGGACGTTTCACCCTTTAAAAGTATAAGCTCTTAAGGCCTGTGCTCCAGCTATTCCTACTTAAAGAAATACTCAAACTCTTTCCCCCTCCTGTCTTTTTCAAGTTCCTGATGACTGTTCATTTGCTGTGGAAATAGGCACCTTCTGCAAACCCAGTTCTCTCCAACAAGTTCCCCTATACTCTACAGCTCTCCCTGCAGTGCTTGTTTCACCAATACCTGTTTAAAAGCTACTTTTGAATATGCTTACCAGCACTGCACTACTCATTCCTGTCTTGCAGCTTTCCTACACAGCACCAGGCTTTTCCAAAGTCTGTGTTGCAAAACGCTCCCACCTATCAATTCCTGCCTCAAGCACTGCACTGGGTTTGCACACTCCCTTCTACCTCCCTACATCCAGCGTCCCACCGCTCTGACACCCAGAGCTCCTCCTCCTGCTGTCTCTTCCTCTCATCTGCTCAATGCTGGTAGCAGCGCTGGGATAGGATTCAGGAATTCTCTGATGCCCGTGGAGGACCACACATCCATACTGCATCCTGCTGCTCAAGCAGGTGGGTTGGCCAAACAGACCTGCAGAAATTCCATTGAACCTCAAGCTATGAAGAGGAAGGAGCAGCAGAAAGAGGCTGCTATGAGCTGACATGACCACTCATCCGCCATTCCCACTGTGCCGCCTGGTGGGGAGGAGGCAGAAGAGCCACAAATGAAAGACTGAAGTGGAGCCCAGGAATAAGGAAGAACAGGGAGAAGCTGTGCTGGTTTTTGCTTCTCACCATCCTGCTCTATTTTTTTTTTTTAATTGGTGTGAGAACTGAATGTTGTTTCTGCATCAGAAGCAAAATAAGAATTTTGTTAATTTCATGGCCTCTCTACTATTTGGGTCATTTATTAGAACTAATAGTTCTTTTCAGGGGCCTTTCTACATTATTGGGGGTTCTCTGATAAAATTTCATTGGTAATCCCCTAGATAAATCTTCCCCAACAACACATATTTGGTATATAAGTAAAGTAATATGTATGAATATATATATAAGCTAGTAACAACTTATGTATAGCCAGTATTGAGAACATGTCACACACACTGCAACAGTATCCTGTGTAATTTAAAAGGACAATTCATTACATGCCTCGGGAGTGCCTGCAGAAGGTAAAATTGGGCACCTCTCTTCCATACTCTTTGTTAAACAAGGACTCTGAACAGAATCACCATATCAGTATGAACAAGGAGACATCTTGGAGACAACAGGACTGACACCAGATAACAAACAAATGAACAAGTAAACAACAAATGTAAACCTTCTGATAAGATTGTGAACCTGGAGTACCCAGCCAGAGGGGAAACAGGGGAGGGGGAGAAGGCAAAGGGGGGGAAGAAAATGGTCTAAAGGCTGTCATGTTGTGTCCATAGGCGCTCCTGCTTGCGGGACGCCCGCCATTGCAATCACGAATAAATTCTGCTTTTATCAGAGATACCATCCTGACAAAACGACTTGGATATTTCCAACATTGGCAATAAATGAAATTAATCAGAGAATTGTTGCAAGGGACCTTTAAAAGCCACCTGGTCCCATTCCCCGCAGTGCACAGGGACACCCACAGCTCCATCAGTGCTCACAGCCCCTGACTGTGGGTGTCTGCAGGGATGGGGCACCACCACCTCTCTGGGCAACCTGTGCAGTGCCTCACCACCCTCAATATAAACTTCTTCCCAATATCCAAATCTCCCCTTCTTTCGTTTGAAACCATTTCTCCTTGTCCTATCGCAACAGACCCTGTTAAAGAGTCTGCTTTCTTACAACTCCCCTTTAATGTCCCTCTAGCCAAGCCTGATTTGTCAGCGATGGCACTCGGTAAGTGATCTCCCTGTCTTTATCTCTTTCAGCATATTTTCTCCCCCTGTTCTGCTGAGGGCTTTCCAAGTTCTTGGTCCCAGTGTCACCTTTTTTCTCACCTGTCAGTACTGGAGATACCGAAGAAACACGACATCTTGCACTAATAAACAACACAGGGAATTATTACCAGTGATTTCTGATCAGGGAGAATCCAGCTGTATCAGATCCAAGTTCTGCAGCTCCCAGGTCACACATCTGTGCTTGCAGCATCCCAAAGAGGAGCAGAGCATTAGCCTGCAGAAGCAGTACATAAACCAGCATTAATGTACACGTGTACATGCAGCTTTTACTTCACTGCATCAGGCACAAAGCTTCCAGAAAGCAATGCTGTCTTCTTGTCACAGCTGTCAGCAGGGATGCAGAATATCTTAATATTTTTCATTTCTTTTTCCCCCTGAACAATTTTGAGATTGGCAAATTCCTTTGCAATTTTGGCCAGGTCAGAAGCTGTAGTTCTGCTACCTCTTAGAGAAAAACACTTCCTTTGAGGAGCAAAGACATTTATCAATATGCTGCTGTATAAATCTACTTTGTTGACACCAGCTAAGCACCTGAATGCCTTCTGGACATAGCAAACTGGTTTTGTGAAATCACTGGAAGTCAATGGAGGCTTGGCAGCACGACAGCCCCTCTCACGTGCCCCACGATGCACAGTCGTGCAGCAGCTCTCTCTGGAATACATGCATTGAAATGACTCCTTCCAAGTGGCCATGTTATTAAAACCATGCCCCACTTTCATTTTGGAATATCATTCCCAGAATGTTGGGGGAGACAGGGATACTGTGTAATAGCAAGCATTCTTTTGCATGCTGCATCATGTCTTAGCTAATGCTAAGCTAATGAATGCACATCACACTGCTTGCACTGATAACATTAATGAAGTAGTCAGACCCTTTGCATGTCTTATTTATTACATGGATTGCAAGTTACCCCCCCTGCTATCCTGTAGGCACACACAAATTATGTTTCACTGAAAGTCAATCTTCATTTATCCAAATGCTCCCAAGATGGAAGCCAAACTGATCACGGAAGAAATACAGGGGGGAAAGAAGGAATTCTCTGGCAAATTGTCAGTGGAAGAAACTTTAACTGGGTAACAAGGTTGGTTATTAGGAAAAAGTTCTCTGAACGAGCAATCAGGCATTGGAATGGGCTGCCCAGAGGGAATGGTGGGGTCACCAACCCTGGAGGTGTTGAAGAAATGGTAGATGTGGTATTTAGGGACATGGTTCAGTGAGTAGGACTGGGGGTGGGTGGTCAGTTGGACTGGATGATCTCAGAGGTCTTTTCCAACTGTAATGATTCTGTGATTCTATGAACTTTCTATGAACTGGTCAGCTAACAGTGGTCAAATACTTAAAGAGTTTGTCCAGAATGCAAAATCTCCATCCCTGGACACTGCTACCCTGAGCAATCTCATCTAATTTAATCCTCACACTCCATGTCCTCTGCAGGTCCTCTCCTCTCTCTCAACCTACATCAGGTCCCCAGGCTCAAAGCATGACTCAACACAATCCCTCCTGTTAGTACACTGTAGTAGTGTCTATAATGCAGCTTCAACCTGAAAGGAAAGACTGCACTCATAGAATCTCAGAATAGTTGGGTTGGAAGGGATCTCAAAGACCACCTGGCTCCAAGCCCTGTGCTGTGGGTAGGGTTGCCAGCCCTTAAAGCAGGCACCAGGTCAGTTGCCCATGGAATGGATGGGTGTTCCTATTTTAGTCGTTGCCAGTAGGAGAGATGAAGTATAATACAACAGAAACGCAGCAGTATTTAACAAAAGTGCAATCTTACCAAATAAACAAACACGATTGAAAGTAGCATTCACACAGGAGTGATAGCTTGCACATAACTGTGCTTCTCTCAGCAACTTAGGAGTTGGACTCGGTGACCCCTGTGGCTCCCCTCCAACTCAAGCCATTCTACGATTTAAAAACAAACAAACAACCAAAACAACCCCAAATCAGAAAATCCTTCGTTGATTGTGATTCTGTGATTCTGTGATTCAGCTTCTCAACTTCCAACATTCATTTCCCGAACGTTATCCCCGAGCAGCTCTCGGGTTTTACAAGCAGTTACCAGGGCGCCCGCTGCTGAGCGGCCAGCTCGGCTCTCGTCCCACGGGGAGGAGTTCTGCTGCTCTGCTGTTGCTGGGATCCGGCGGCACGCAGGACGAGCTGCTCCAGGGCCGCATCGCCCGGCCGGGCTGCCATGGGGGATCGGTCAGATCGAGCCAAGGAAACCCCCCTCGAGCAGAGTGCGGGCTAAAAATGGACAATTCCTTCGTGGAAGAAGTGGCCGCATCTCTGGTGAGAGAATTTCTCAGTAGAAAGGTAAATGAGTCTTGATTTTCTGGCTGGGATGAGCGGGAAGGGCGCTGGAGAAACGCCGGTCGTTAAAAGGCGAAGAGAGGAGGGGGGGGACGCCGGCTGGGGGCTGTAAGGCAGATAGCCGTGCGGAGCAGCGAGCTGCGGGGCTCGGATCTGCACTACATCTCCCACAATACCCGCCTGTTTCCGAACGTGGAAGGCGGCTGCCGGCCTGCCTGCGAAAACCTGATTCATTCCTACACGTGCCTGCGGAAAAAAAAAAAAAGCTTAAGCCAAGAAATGCGGTTTTAAGCTTTTTTTTTTCACCCCTCGTTCATCGCCTATCTTGTTTTTTACAAGTGATGCACACTAATACTAAAACAAAACAAAAGGAAGGGGTCCTGATAGATGAAAAACTTAATATGAAGCAGCAGTGTGCTCTTGTGGCTCGGAGGGCAAATGGAATCCTGGGCTCCTTCAGCAGAGGGGTGGCCAGCAGGGACAGGGAGGTGATTGTCCCCCTCTGCTCTGCTCTTGTGAGGCCCCATCTGCAGCGCTGCATCCAAGTGTGGAGCCCGCAGTACAAAAAAGACAGGGAGCTGTTGGAGAGGGTCCAGAGGAGGGCCACTAGGATGATCAGGGGACTGGAGCATCTCCACTATGAGGACAGGCTGAGGGAGCTGGGTTTGTTCAGCCTGGAGAAAAGAAGGCTGCAGGGTGAGCTCATTGCAGCCTTTCAATACCTAAAGGGAGCCTACAGAGGGGAAGGGAATCAACTCTTTGAAAGGGTTGATACGTGTAGGACAAGGGGAAATGGTTTTAAGTTGAGGGAGGGGAGATTTAGGTCGGACATCAGGGGGAAATTCTTTACCCAGAGGGTGGACAGGTACTGGAACAGGCTGACCAGGAGGCTGTGGATGCCCCATCCTTGAAGGTGTTCAAGGCCAGGTTGATGGGGCCCTGGGCAGCCTGGTTTAGCATTAAACGTGGAGGTTGGTGGCCCTGCATGTGGCAGGGGGGTTGGAGATTCATGATCCTTGAGGTCCCTTCCAACCCTGGGAATTCTGTGATTCTGTGAAGTGGTCACAGAGAAAACAGACGTCTTTTACTGGGGTTCTGCAGGCAGTGGATTTGCCCGGGGGGGGGGGAAGGAGAAGAAAGTGACTGCTGTATTTGTTAAAGAACTGATGGAAAGGAAAGAAATGGGATGCGGGCTGTGAGCCGGGGAAAAGACACCTTCATGCTTCCAGGTGAAATCGCCTCCTACTTCGTATTCATGCAGAATCCAAAGGAAATATTGCACGTGTCCCCCCAGCTCTGGAATAGTTGCCTCATACAGAACACAAGACTCAGTTGTGCTAAGAAGCATCGTGCCAACCTCGCTTTCTCTCACCTGTCCTGCATCCAGCTTTTAAATGCCTATTTTCAGTGTTGAAATCTTGCTGACATGATTTCCAACGCAGAATTAATCACTTGCCTTTAAGTTCCAGCATTAGCAGAGCAATGCCTCACAGTACCTGACTGCAGAGGTTTCTCAAATGAAACACCTTCACATTTCTGACTTAAATAAATGTAATGCTGACTGAAAGCATAAAAGGAAAGGGATGCTCTGCTGGTAAAACTGACCGTGCAGCTTATCATTCCTTGCACTTTAATTGCAGCACTGCCTCATTCTCTGTACCGAGCTGCAGGAAGAGCCTAAACCAGTTGATGCTATGAGGATCCAGCTGATTTCCAACCTGGTCAGGTTACCCTGATAACAGGGTGAAGAGCAGGATGAGGGTTCTAAGAAACCTGCCAAAAAATAAAGCGCATCTGAAATTCAGAGTTTGTCATTACGTAGCTCAGATGCAATTAATTGCACAGGCCAATCTTATGGAGCTGTTAAGCAGCTGCAGTCGGCCACACGGAGTAGCCCTGTTTTGTTTGTTCTCCCAAGTTTGGTAAATTCTGCACAGACAGCATTTCCACCAGAACTCCTTTTACATCTCCGGGCTGTAGAAATGCAAAACTGTATAATTAAAGTGCAGGTTTTAAGGCTCAGCTTGTAATTACTTCCATTTTAATGTATCCAGAAGCTTCAGCTTGCATCCAACAAAGTCAGCACTAAAAACTTTTGTTAGCTGTTCTGTTTCCTTCTCCTCCCAAATCCAAGCAGGAATCATAGAATGGCCTGGGTTGAAAAGGACCTTAAACATCATCCAGCTCCAACCCCTGCTGTGTGCAGGTCGCCAACCAGCAGCCCAGGCTGCCCAGAGCCACATCCAGCCTGGGCTTGAATGCCTGCAGGGATGGGGCATCCACAGCCTCCTTGGGCAGCCTGTGCCAGTGGAAGCACAAGGAATCTAGCATGTTCACACTGCACTATCAGTGACCGTGGGGAAGTGGCACTGGGAGTCATGGTAGGGATAGGTTGGTGTCCTAGGGGTGATTTACGCCCTTTAATGATTCTGTGACTCTAAAATCTCCTGCTTGTCCTCAGGGTCTGAAGAAAACCATCAGCACCATGGACCGGGAGCTGCCACGTTCTGCACTCAGCATCAATAACAGGAATGAGCTTCGAAACGTCCTGCATTTGCACTCCCTGTACAAACAGAACAAGGTAAAGGATGAGGTGCTTCTCCTCACAGCCTGGTCTCAGATCACGTAGAACTGGGTGAAACAGATCGAGGCAGCAGTGTGTGTGCACAGTGCAGAGAACTGGAGCCTGGGTCTGGTGCTGCACTGCTGTGGACACGCTTAGAAGTCTCCATCTCACCTCCATGGTGAGACTGCATTACAGCTCACAGGACTAAGATGAGAACCTGGCAGTGAGCCCTTGTTACTAAATGCAGCTTCCAATAAACCAGGAGCACTTATTTACTTTAACATCTTTTACATCATTGCATCTAGAACATTCCATTTTGGAAATAGGTCTGCATTTCCATTTCTATTTACAACTTTATGTATGAGCTGACAGACAGAACTGCACTCAGCATTTATCATTCCTTGACATGTAATACAGGCCACAATATTTTATGTCAAAGCCATCAGTAGCTGAATTCCAATTATTGCTTAGATCCAATCCTAACCATTCACAGCTTAAGGCAGGAATGTCTAGCCAACAGCCTGCAGGATGATGCAATTGACTCCAGCAACTCGTGTTTGATGAATACACTGCAAGTGCAAACTTGCAGCAGAGCCATGAATTTCATGAGGTCCAAGGGATTGAATCCTTGCCAACTCCAGGAGTTCCAGGACTTCCTTCACAATCACACCTTATTACTTCGTTTAACACACCTTTAAGCTCTCGATACTTCCTAGCTGACATCTCCTTCCCTGGAGGTGGAGCCACTGTCCCTGGAGGTGTTTAAGGAACATCCAGATGTTGTATTGAAGGACGTGGTTTAGTGGGTATATTGGTGGAAGGTGGATGGTTGGACCGGATGATGTTGGAGGTCTCATCCAACCAACCTCAAGTGCTGGTCTCTCTCAAGAGAGAACTCCAAGATCATCCAATCCAACCTCAGTGATTCTGTGGTTCTGTGATTCCTTCCTGCGTTGTTTGTACAGCCATGTCATTTATAACCACCAGACTCTAGGAAACTGTTAACATGTTCAGCCACTGTACAGTATAATGACCCCTTCTTAGATTGCAGACTAACAAGTTTTCAGCAGCAACCAAAAACTTTATTTTCCTTCTCAAACAGGCCAAGGAGAATCCTCTGAAAACACTCCTTGAAATCATTACTAATTATTTCCTTGAGCACCGTGGAACCTCCAGGAGCACCAGTTCAAGTTCTGCACTGGCAGCTTCTCAAAGTAAGAGCTCAGCATCCCATCCACCTGACCTTTCAGATGAAGAACGTGCATGTGGAAATGCCAGCCTGCCTCTTGACAGCAAAACTCAAACCTTCAGGTACTCCCTTACTCCTCTTTGCTTTGGCCAGTCTTCTTCCCATGAAGTGAAATAGCGTTGAATGGTTTGTATGGTCTATATGGTCTGATTTTGGGGTGGTCCTGTGCAGAGGCAGGAACTGGACTCAATGATTCTTAATCCTCTGGTCAGACATTAGGAGGAAGTTTTTGAGCCAGAGGGTGGTGAGGCACTGGCACAGGTTGCCCAAGGAGGCTGTGGATGCCCCATCCCTGCAGGCATTCAAGGCCAGGCTGGATGTGGCTCTGGGCAGCCTGGGCTGCTGGTTGGCGACCTGCACACAGCAGGGGGTTGCAATGAGATGAGCATCGTGCTCCTTTGCAACCCAGGCCGTTCTGTGATCTCTGACCCTTATGGGTCCCTTCCAGCTTAGGATATGCTGTGATTCTACAGCATCCTCAGCAACAGCATCTTGGGTGAACTGTCACAAAGTTTGCATTACTGCTATCTTCCTTAAAAAATGCTCTTTTATGCTCCCTGGCAATTAGAAAGACTTGCATGTTCTTCAGTGGCTGAAAGATGGAATTAAGATGAACAAATCTGAGCTTTTATGCCTGGTAAACTGGAAAGTATTCAGTATAGTGTGATAAGAAATGAACCACCTGCACTCAAACTACAGATACATCAATGCTTGGAGCCTAAACCAAGCCCTACCATCTTCCATTCAGCATTACTGCCAATAGTGTAAATTATTTCCATCAACAAAGGCATACGGAAGCAGCATGCAGCCAAGTCTTCCAGTGCTATTTATTAGCATCCCAAAGCAACAGCACCAGCTGTGCTTCAACAGAAAGCCTTTAAAATGGACACAGAACAGAAATTCGACTTCCCAGCTTTGACTCTCAGGGAATACCCCTAATTTTATTCTCCGTTGTAAAAGCAGCTCAAACCCACTGCTCCTAAGCGTTAGCACTTGCAGAACTCCACAAGTCCTTGCTCAGTGGGGAAGGGAAACAGGAACTGACACAACCAGCTAAGAACTGAGCAGACGCTGCAGGGGCTGGAAGGGACCTGTGGAGATCATCGAGTCCAATCACCCCAAAGCAGGTTCCCTACAATGTGTAGTGCAGGAAGGTGCCCAGACAGATCCTTTGTCCCTTTTTCTATTGCTTCTTAGGACGCCCCTAACACGGCTCTCTTATATCGAATAGCAGCAACGCAGCCCTTTCCCACCCCCAACAAAATGGCGGAACTCCCCCGCCCCTCACAGCTACTGACAGCCCGGAGGGCGCATGCGCATTGCCAGCTCTGCCCGTCAGGCCAGAGTGGGAGGGAGAGACCACAGAGAGCGCGCTGCGGCTGGGCCAGAGAGGCCTTCACTGTTCCGGAAGTGATGCGTTGAGGGGCCGCTCTGCCTTTTGTTGGAGAGCACTCTATGGTTTTAGTCCTCCAGTGGTTTCCCTTTGGGGTGGGAACTGTTGGTGTTGCGGTATTTGAGTTAATCGCACACAGCCCCACACTGGCACTTTTCCCCAAAAAGATGCGTGCTGTATACTTACAAGTAAACACATGAAAAGCTGCATGTGCAAATGTAACACAAATGAGTGAGGGGTGGGGGGACAGCACATGTATGTGAGGAAGGGCTGCTGCCATCATGGTGTGTGGGGCTGGTGCTCGTGAGGGGAGTCCCTGCTATTTACTACTTTATGCCTTTCTGGTCATGTCTTTTCCTCTACCTACAAAAAGAATCAGGAGGAGAAATAGTGTGGCAGAAGCAGGGTTCTGTGATCCCCTAAGCTGTTTCCATCCCTCTGGCCATGGAGAAATCAGACCACAGTCAAGCAGCCAGAGCCTGAAAATAATTTTAATGTTAATAGTTATGATAATTTTAATCATAACTGTCTGGTTAAGTTTTAACAAGGCAAGCAGGAGTGGAGATTATAATCAGACAAATTCCTTATGTAAGAGTTCAGCTTCAAACTCTTTCCTTTTAAATGACCTCAAGAATATATTTTTTTAATGTCTACAACTGTTAAAATGATACCTACTTTGTGCCCTTTGGCAATGACAAATGGTTCTAGGTAAGGAGTAGCAGTCCTCAGATTTCCTAATGCTCTCAGAGACTGATCCTGCACCCTTCTGTTTAAATATGAAGGATGTCTTTGCAGTATAAGGCATAACTAACTACAGAAAACCAAGTTTTAACTGGTTAGGTGAAATGAATGTTTATGTGATACAAGATGCTTCAGCTCATGGAATTGCTTAGCTATGAAATACGATGGAGAAAAACATCCTGGAGTTAAACACAAAAGTTAAAGGGCAGTTATTGTAAAAGGAGGCCAGCATTTTCAGGTTACCCAGATTATCACAGAAACACAGAGTCACAGAACCACCAAAGTTGGAAGAGGCCTCCAAGAAGATCCACTCCATCATCCACCAGTATTTCCCCACAAAACCATGTCCCTTAGTACCACATCTAAACACTTCTTGAAGACCCTTAGGGACGGTGACTCCCCACCTGCCTGCAGAGCCCATTCCAGTGCCTGACCACTTGTTCAGAGAAGGAATTGTTCCTAATATCCAACCTGAACCTCCTCTAGTGCAACTTGAAGCCATTCCCCTGAAGAATGAAGGAAGTCAGTTCAAAAGATGCTGACAAAAACATGATCAAATTTTCTAAGGGCTGTTCAAAGCGGATGGGAAAGGAGTGGGGACTGTTTGTGGTAGCTCCAGACCCATCTGACTTAACAAAAGTGGTATTGTCACGAACTGTCATGCATGATAATGATATTGAAATGATCTCTTGAAGACCTACCTATATTCCAATTCCAAGTAATTGTATTTGAGTGCCACTTCCACGTAACAAGTGGCTTGAAAGCAGTGCTTTAATTAGCCGAGGTGCTGTTTTCATTGATCTCATCATTCATCATTTCGTTGTTTATAACGTTGTTTCTTTATTGTAGACACGATGTTGAGAATCCACCTGATAAAATCCTTCAATTCAGAAAACATCAACACAGAAGTGAAAAATGCCAGGCGGGGACAATATGCAACAGCCTCTTAACCTCTGATGGGGATAAGAAGTTCAAGAGTAGTCAAGAGGATTTAAAATCAGCAGTGATTTCTGAAGAGCTGCAAGCCACAGTGAAGGACAAGCAGAGGCCCAGGTCTGGTCTCATTGTCAGAGGCACGATGGCTGGACCAGGAGCAAGTTCTCCAGAGGTGATTTTTAACCCTTCCAAATCATAAACCATAGAATCACCAAGGTTGGAAAAGACCTCCAAGATCATCCAGTGCAACCATCCGCCTGCCACCAGCATTTCACCACTAAACCACGTCCCTCAGCACAACATCTAGCAGCTTCTTGAACACGACCAAGTACTGGGAATGAGCTGAGATTTTGAATATGACCTTCTGAGATGAAGTAATTTGTGAAGAATATTAGCATTGCTTCTTCATGCTGATTCATTAAATCTGCAGTATGAAAAGATGGGCTGATTTAGGGCAGTGCTTCTGGTTAATTCAGAAATTCAAGCTGTTTGAGGAACAGCCGCTGCACACAGAGCTGCCATCTTTCATTACAGCATTTCTTTATTAAGTCTTCTCCATTTTTGATATCATATCTCTCTTGAGAGCTGAGATTTTCCATTTTCCTCAGGAAATTGCTTCTTTACCTCAGAAGTGTCTGCAGCTCCTCAATTGGGAGCACCTGATTTCCTCAGGCTTTTTTTTACCCCACATTTAATCATTAGCTTTGGACTTTGAAAACTGCTTTCAGTAAAACAGTGTTTCTAAGCTCGTCCAAATGAGATCTATTTCATCAGTAGGTGTTTTTAAATCACAATTCCAAAAATATTCTTTTTTTTTTTCTTTCACGCTTCTTTCCCAGAGACAGGAGCTTCCCCTGTGTCCAATGAAGCTCATAAAAGTGAGAAATTGAAGTATTTTAATACTGAAGCTAATACTGAAGCAAATGTTGGAAGCTAAACGAATTGCGTTTTCTAAAGAGTTTTGGTTCAGGAAAAAGGACTAGATACCTTTAACAGCCAATTTTGGCAGTAAAATATCATGTATGTCTTGACTTTCTCTGAATACAACCCCAAATAATGTTTTTATGAGGTCTTTTTGTTGATGTCCTTGGGTAAAAGAAAGTTTTTACAGTATGTAGCATTCAGGTTTTAAGTAAAAATGTGTATCTGCTCCTATTTATTATCCAAAAGAGTTACCTAATTTACTCTTTAACCTGATTCCTAATAACAAAGAAATCGTTTGGCCCCTTAGCTACTTGATAGAGTTTTGTTTTTTAGCTTTCCATTTATGCAAAGGCAGTCAAATCTTAACGTATGGTTTTAATGGCATTTCTTTGCAGGATCAGCAGAGAAGGAGGTCAAAACGCTCCAGCAGCATCAGTAGCACAGCACTGCTCAAGGGTGAAAAACACGAGGAAAATGAGCCGAGTGCCCCAAAAGTCGATTCCCAAGACAATAAAGGATGCTCAGCACAAGTAAACCCAGAGATTGCCTCAAGGACTTTGTCAAGTTTGCATGTGAGTTCAGCTTCTGAAAAGCTAAGGAGCATCTCCAAGGATACCTGTGACTCTTTTATCAAACTGCTGTCCGAAAGAGGGAGGACCAAGATGGAGGAAAGGAAATCACTGCCAAGCTTTTGTACAGACAGCGGTGAGAAAAGCCTTAAAGTCAGTGCCCTGCACAGACATTCAGGGACTGGAAGGGAGAAGAGAGAAAAGGCCCTCAAGAAAAGTGAGAGCTGGTTATCAGGTCACAGGTAAGAATATGTGTAAGAAAGCAGTACTAAAAAGTTAGAAGAAAATATGATGAAGGGCTAAAAGAGGTCGAGATTCTGTTTCTGTTGAGGGGAATCAAAGGGAAGAGGTGAAGATACTGGAAGGGAGAAGATTTTTTTCAGAGTTAACTTGCTAATTTTGACATCCCAAACCAGTCAGGACTCCTTTCCTTGTCACTGGAGAGACCCATCGCCGCTGGTTTCTCTTTGCTGCACGTGAGGAGAGCTGAGGGCTACCAGCTCAAACTCAGACCCTGAGATGTGTAACACAAGAGGTTTGCTCCCACCTGCACAGATCATCTACATCTTAAGAAACAGTGTTAATTACCACTGCAGTACTGTGCCCTATTGCTGTTCTGATAGCTTGCAGTAGATTCCTTCAGAGGACTTGGTCTCAACAAGAGCAGAAGAGGGAGCTATTTCCTAAGCAGAGTCCGTTTGAATCGTTCTCAAGGCAAAAGTGGGACAGCCCTGCCAGATGATTTATAGCCAGCAAAGGGTTTGAATTCATGCTGAGCTTTGGGCTCCTGAAAAACCTCACTGGAATCAGCAGGAGTGCTGACACTCCTGAAGTTAAGTGGAAGGAACAGAGAGTGGAAGTGAGACTCCAAATAAACACCATTACAAAGTAAGGACTGGCTCTTGCAAAGCTTCTGTCCCTTTGGCAAAGTCCTGCACTGCTTCAGAGCTCTTTGAGCATTTTGAGGCATCAACATATGCAATATAAGAGCATACATTTATCTTGATCCTCTTCCGTTCTCTGTTACTGCTCCCTGACTGCAGTGACAGAAGTGCTAATCTAAATGCTGAAAATCTATTTAGGTTTAAACCTTGCTTGTTCATTTGCAGGCATCTGAAATTCCATTCCTGTTCCCCATAGATAAAGCCAGACAAATCCTTCCATTTTGCTCTTCTTATTCATTTCTTTTGGTTCTGTGCAAAACGTGCTGCTGTTGCATACAGGCTGCAGGCATCCCTTGGCTCCTTAGGGAGCAAACAAACTAACCAACCAGCAAAAAGCCCAAAGCGAGATGCTGCCATCCTTCAGAAGTCAAGCTGAATGGGACTGAATGCATGCTTACAAGCAGAGTGGGCAGAAACCCAGATCCCACAGCATTTTGACTCGCACGTTTTAACGGAAAGAAATGATGGGCATCAAACTGTGCCTCTTGTTCCATCAACACTGATTCTTGGCTGCTGCCTGAAGTGTGTGTGGGAGAGGGTGGCAGTGTTGAAAAGCCAGATTTAGGACTTTGTTTTTGGATCTTAAACTACAGACATGAAATTAGACCTCTGAGTACCAGAGTCCTCAGCTTTGTCCTCAATAAGATTTGGAGGATCTTTGGTTTTGGTTCTAATAGATGAAATTTCGCTGTTTTGTCAGTAAGGTGGCATCAAACATGGAGCTTTCCAAAATGGCAGACCAACACACCAACACAGGTATGGAAATGAATAAACAAGAGGAAAAAAAAAAGAAAAAAGAAAAAAGAAAAAATATCCTCTTGCCTTTTTTGGTGTTTCTTTTTAGAATAAAATGAAAAAAAATGTAGTCAAGTCAATTAGAGACTGATGATACAGATTCAGTCTCTGCCTATGTTTTGAACTGCTTTAGCTGGGAGCATCTACTTTCAAATTCAGGTACCTCTAAGGATGGCTTAGAAGATCAGTGTTTCACTGCAGATATTACCTAATTGCTATTAGCTGGGATAAAATACTGACTTTTTGTATGAAAGCACGTGTTACCTTTTCAGATGTGCTCTGAACTTAATGCTGATCTCTGTGCAGACAGGTTCCCATTAGGCAGTGAGCGTACCACATGCCTTTAACAGTGCAAAGACAGATGTGAAGAGCAATCTGTTCATCTTCCTCTTCACTTGTGTACCTCACAAGATATCTGAATCCCTCCTCATCAAAGGGAGAATAATGATTGCAAATAATTAAAAGCAAAGGGTCTCTTTTCTTCCTTGTTTTGTAGGGGAGCAGAAGCTTCCGTGCTGTTGGGTTGGTGATGTTCCTCTGTGTCATTACTAGATTCTGTTTCATGTCAGCAGGAGTTCCCTAAAGGCATTTTGTTGTACAGTTATAGTACTTAGCAATACCTACTAATAGTTAACAGTGCTTACTTTAATTAGCAATATGCTGTGCAGCTTGCATACATACCAGTTACAATTGTAGTAAATGCCTTTATTTCAGAAGTCCTTATTTTTAATTAACCCAGAAGGGAGCAGTATGTAGGTGGCAGCAAATCATCAGGCATCCTTTGCCGTAAGCAAACAGCAGCAAACGTGGTCTCTCAATTCATCCTGCTCTGATGATTGTGCTGTTTGCAGAGCTGTTGGGAGGCACTGGGGGTTGTTAGGAGGGCAGTATTTCAATATTAGTTTCAAACTGATTTTCCTCAGGAGTCAGAAGTCTCGATTTTCATATGCTGAGGCTTTTGCTTTTAATAGCTTAGGTGTAATGCTTCGGTGGCCACGGTGTGTTTGTGTTTCTGCTTTTCTGTCTGTACTACAATACATGAATTAAATCTGCAGAGGTAATGGTTTGCTTTAACAGAGAAGTAATTAATAGTGAATCAGATTGCGATGCTTGGCCATGCAAGGGCAGAGTTTTATAAACTCATATACAGTGTGCAGAACTGTTATTTGAAGGTAGAGCCTTCTATTGTAAGGACTTAACAGATTGAAAATGATGTTTTGTTTCAGATCCACTTCAGTGAGGAATCTGAAACCTCGTCCATCCTTTCGGGTGGTTTTGATGCATTCTCAAAGCAGGATTTCTTACTGCTCTCCAGTTCCTTGAGTCCTTGTTCCTCTCTAAAGTGTGAGCTGTGCACAAGTAGAATTTGGACGACCCATCACTTTTTGTTCTTTGACATTGAGGTTTTCATGAGACTAAAAAACCATGTGTTTAAAAAATACGTAATGCTAATGAACAATCCAAGAATCCAGCTGAAAAATTGTTCGACCCATAGTTATTACTCTGATCTTACCAGTTCCATGGGAATAGATGAGGTTGAAGGAACACATTCAGATAAAAGGCAGCAAATGGAGTCTTTTCAGCTGGGCAGAACATTGAATGGCTGTGAGGAATCTCTGCCACCTCAAATATCCTCTGCTTAATGCTGAATCACCTCCAGCAGGGAAATCTGTGTCACCAAACGGAGCGCACAGAATGAGGAATGAGGACCTGTGGTGGAATGGAATTTGTGATCTTTGGGAACTGTGGAAAAAAAAAGAATAGCTGTTGAATTTAACGCTTGGCCTTGGATTAAAATCATTCTCTTGCTTTTCTAGGAAAAGCCTGATGAATAATGAGTTCTTTGTGAAGGTTAAATGGTGTCAGAAGATTTTCCTGTGTTTCACAGCTTGAGCAAGCAGAATTGGTCAAAAAGAACTTGATAGCAGTCGAGGAACAAATCTTTTGTCTCAACTACAGATGTGCTACTCCTGTTGCTCACATGGCCTCTGAATCTGAAGTGCACTTCTAGCTTTCCATTCTCTTTAGCTATACGAATGTAAGGCTTGGTGGTGATGTGGAAACCCTCCCGTTCTCAGCTGAATAGTTTCTAAACAGGTAGATGTGGGCTGGCCAGCTGTGTTCTTACTGGGTACTGGTGGCACCACCTTATGCTGAGTGGATGGGCAGATACTATCAAAGACCTCTGTTTCACTTCTGGAAGTTAAGGGCTGCATATTGAGGTGTCTGAACTTCTAGCTGCCGTGTACAAAGCGAACCATTCTCCTTTTCTCAGTGTCAAGGCAAATGGCATAGAAATTAAAATCAGGGAAATGAAAGAAGAAAATAAAATGTAAACTTGGAATGAAAGACTCAGGACGAAAAAAGCAATTAGCAGTCTGGACCGAAAGTTAAAGACGTGGTTAATTTCATAAAATCATGGTTGAATGGTAGAATGGCTGAGGTTAGAGGAGACCTTAAAGATCATTGAGCTCCAAGCCCCTTGCTGTGGGCTGGGTTGCAGGTGAGCCCTCTGGCTGCCCTCACTTCATAGAAACAAAGAGGGAATGGCTGTCAGAAAGGCAAACAAATGGAAATACCTTACAGTAGTAGGATCTCATTGTCCAAAACGAGAGATTTATAAAGCACTTTCAGGAGGAAGACAATTGATTCTCCACTCAACCTTTGTTTGTGAATGGTCCCCTTCGTTATCCAATTCTTCTAATTGCTTCTGCTCTACTCTCCATCGCCTTGCCCCTAGGCTTGGCTGCAAAGTGAATGTGAGCTAGTGGTTTCCTTTCCAAAGCCTGCCAGTGCAGATGGATATTTCTGACAGTAGGGACTTTTTATTACTGTGTGGCTTGGCCTCAAGATGCCTTTTCCAACCAAAACCTAAGGAACTCAGATGCACTTCATTTCGACCACCAGGAGATCAAGTACCTGTGAGTCCAGAGCCAGAATTCCACTTCCTGCAGTGGTCTCTCAACTAACTTTGCTTTAGGTGGCAATCTTCAGTGATTCCCAAAATATCACTCATTGTTTAGTAAAAAAAAGCCCTTTTCTAGCAGCGCTGTGCTTGCTAACACAAATAGAGTGGGGTTAGTGCATTGCCATAGATACCAAGTTCTTTAGTGGAACATTACTCATATTTCATAGAACCGTAGAAACTACAGATGGAAAAGACCTTTCAAGGTCATTTGCTTCTGTGACAGATTATTCATTACTATATATAAAATTTGATGTAATATTTTCTTCCAAGACTTCGTCTAGTCCACTCTTAAATGGCTCGAGTGACACCTCTCCTCTGAGAATGCATTTCAGTGTCTAGTAGCCTTAATTTAGGGGATTTTTCCTTTATATTCCTCCAGGATTTGCTTTCCGCCCTGTTATCCAAATTGAAGTTGCTTTTCTGACTGATGTTTCTGCTGCAGATGTTCACCACTGTTAAAGTACTTCTAAATACTGTTTGTTCTCTTTCAGGCTTTTTTTTTTGTATTGTCTGCTTGCACTTTTATCTGTTCTGC